TAAAAATTGCAGATATACAAATATACAGATTAGAATAACAAAGTAAGAGCATTTAAAATACTGGAACTAACGCCAGGAATGAATAGGATCCCTTTATGTTGTGGAGTTTTCGAGAAAACATTTTACTTGTTTGAAATTTTTTGTTAACGATAAAAGTAAGTAGAAAGTGGAAGAAAAATATGAAGACACGAAAGCGATTGCCAGTCAGTTTATTGGGTATTTCCCGATTGTAAAGGATTTCGCAAAGGTAGAATCGTTGGTAACTATCAATCGAGTTTTCAAAAGTGACGTCACAAAATACTATTTTTAGAATCTTTTAATTTTGATCGCATAACATACAGTCGAATACTGCTATCTCGAACACAGTTATTTCGAAAAATTCTCTATCTCGAACAGTTTCCCATTTCCCCTCGTTTTCCTATGGGGCTTGGTATAGAAATATACTCATTATTTCGAATTCGCTTATCTCGAACTATTCGCCATCTCGAACGAAGTGTTATACCCTTCAAAGAAAAAACCGTAAATTCATCTGCCTGAGAAAGAAGACTGTCTTTGCAAATCTGCCTGTCTTTCCTTTTGGTAGATGTCCTACAATAGTTTCGTTTTTCTGGCCACACACTGTGTATTTGTCGGCTATGTTGTTTCTCCATCACGACTTTCAGTTTCCTCCAATCTTGGGCTGCCAGATAGAATGATAAACGTGGTGCCCTTGGATAAAGGAATTTACTTCAAATTCAATTATGTTTATATTTGGTTTTTTTTCTGCTACTGCTACTTTGACACCAGCAAAAGAAACAAAATCATTGTCGTTTGCCATTTTGCTATAAAAAGCACTCCAAAATATAAGGCAATTTTCATTAATAGACTATTTTAGTTTAGTTTGATGTTTAACAAAGTATGGGGGATAATGAGCTCCTTTCCTTGGTTAATATTCTAATTTCAAACACAGATGATCCCTTTTTGATCGAAAAAATCCCGAGTCTTGATATCTGTAAGTCTTGCTATGTCGAACAAATTTTCGTTTCCGTGCAAGTTCGAGATAGTAGGACTCGACCGTAGAAGAATACTATGGAATACTTCTAGATATGTCAAAAATAGGATAAGATATTGCCAATGAAAGATCTGAAGTTTGCTAACAAATCACTGTTATTTTGGCTCTGTTCATAAAGTTATGAACAGAAACAAAATTACAAAGTTTTGATGGAGTAAGTTCAGGTATTTTATGATGCTGTTTCACTTTTGGAATATTTTGGAATATTTGATTGAATCATGACTTGAAATGATTGATTGATAACACGATTCATTAAAATGACAAATTTGAAGATTTGTCAATAGTGCTTGTCATCTGAGCATACTTGTAGGCTCTAGGAACAATATCAGGATAATGTTTACCTTTATTCAATTTCATTTTGTTTTCATTCCATTTCATTTCAGTTCATTTAAAGAGGGTTGCCCTTCAGCCGGATGTGATTTACAAGATGCCCTCCACTTAAAAATTTTTAATTACAATCAAAATTTTGAAAATACAATGTACCTTAACATATTGCACCTTGGTGACGTAGTTAATTCCCCTTTTTTGACACTCCAGTTTGACACGTGTTGTCAAAGTCTCTATTTAAACAAAGCAGCCATTTGCAAAAACAACTTCTATGTTCCTCAATAATGCATTAAGTAGAGCTGATAGCGTGGCGCTTTATTAGTAAGGTTTTGTCTCTTTGAGATATGCAGATAATTGTTTCAAGTTCGGGCCTAACAACAAACACGATCACTCCGGAGATCCTCCTAACAAACCAATGTCTTCTGATTAATATATACAATGATTGTTTGGCATTGCTTTTATTCAATATAATATGTCAGTTATTGTTTTTGCTATATTTTCGTAAACTAAAAGAATATTTTTCACTGCAGTAATATTCATGGACAATATATTAGTTTATATTCATGGACAATATATTAGTTTATATTCATGGACAAGATTAATATTTCAAAGATGTCGCATTTCAGTCTGTAATTTTAGCATGTAGGAAGAATTTCTGGTAGCAAAAAGAAAATCTTTTGTTCAATTCGATTATAGCCTTGCCACATAATCATTGTATTTTAATCAAAATTGTCGATCCTTGTTTAGACCCAACTGCTAGTCCTTCAGCCTTGTCACCTTTTCACTCAGGCCTACTAATGTGTCTTTTAAAGTCTCAAATCACCTTTATTGTATTTTCCTGCTTAGCGCGTTTCTTTTAAATCTGGTAACTTCGTCTTAAATCTGGTTCGCGGCTGGGCTTGTGACCAAAAAACCATCTGGCACCAAAAAATCCGGTGCTAATCGCAGTAATCGGTACCCAGGTGAGAAGATAAGGAACACGAGATAAGAGAGTCATATATAGATCACTGTAACGCTTTCAATGTAACTGATATGGAATCAAGATGAGAAAACTTTATCGTTTCAAAAACACTGCCTGTGTGAAATTCTCTATATCTAGCCCCTTCTATTTCTAAGAAAAACGCTTAAGCAAGTGTATTTTCTGGCCTACATGGCAGTTATTTTGAGGGTCTAGAACTTACTGAAGCGAAAAGATATCAAAATTGGCTTTAGTATTATCCCCGTAGACACGGATATAAGCGTTAACTGTGGGAAAATGGGTTACGTTTATCGATATGGAAATAAGTGTATGCATACGTGCCATGTTGTCACATAAACCATAACCATATTTGTGCTAACTTTAAAGATTTCCCGTTCACCAGATGCTGGAAAACGGACTTCAATTCTGTCTTTCCCATCGCATAAAAAATTGCCAAAGCAACAAAGTTTTGAAGCCCTATTTAGATAACCATTGTTTTACTACCACATTTAGCAACCCCCTTTTGTTTGGGATTTTAGCTAAATCTGCCCCTCTACGGAACTAAATCCAAAATGCCCCTTACTTCTTAAATACCAAAAAGAATCTTTGTATGCAACCTTTCAGAAGGAAATGACAACAAGTGTCCTTTACTTTCAATGGCTTCTGCTGTACTCTACAAATTACCCTTTTAGTTCGTTTTCGTAACCTCGAATGCCACCCCGCTGTTTTTAGTTCTCTATTTCCTTTTTAATCGTTTTTAAACAGAATATCATACTCAAAAGGAATGTTGTTTAAACTGTTGAATTACATGACCAAGTGGAAAATGATATATGACTGCCTTTGAAGTGCAACAATTTAGCGATGGAGCCCGATGTTGACGAGTGCAACAGAATATTTCACCCATCATATTGGCTAGAAACCCCCACCAGGAAATTCCCTGCTTACATGCTTGTTCTCAATGTCTTGTGAGTGAATTAATAAGAGGATTGATAGTAAGGAAGTCAGCCTTGGCAAGATAATCGACTGTGACCAAAGTCTTCAAGCTGACCCTGGCAGATGCTATTGGGGTCGTCCTCTTTCTCCTAGTTAAAGCACCCGCCTCTTAAGTTCAATAATCTGGGCATGTCTCATGGAGCTGGGAACTAGAAATCAGAAAAACTGATATAAAGTCCATGATAATTTTCAAGTTCTTTTTATTATATATCTTTCCTAGGCCTCCTGCTCCCCTACTTTGAAAATTCGAAAAGACGTTTTCCCTGTATATCAGAATGATTTTCACGTTTAAAGAATTTGAAATCATTATCATAATTATATAGACAGACCTTGAGCAGATTATCTGTAAGATAGGGATGTTTTTTGCTTTAAACCGCGGAGCAGGGGGCTGGGGGGCTTTAGCCCCCGCCCCCATTTTTTTGAAAAAAATGCAAAATATTAAGAAATGAACCACCATAAAGCCACCATTTTATTCGGTTTTAGCCCCCCCCTTACTTGTTTAGATCAGTCTATTTAGATTTCTATTCAGACGCCTATGTTGAGAACAATTATAAATGTTGAACAACTTCAAGGGGAGCGATAATCTCACTATCAAAAAATTAGTACTTTAGCAAAGGTTATTTATGTAACCTATTCAATTATGGTCATATTGGATTCATTTACTGCAATTGACTCACAATGTTAGTTGCAACGATAGTGCAGCCTAATTATGTACTAAAACCCGTCTCTGTTTCTTAGATTTTTAGGCAGTCTTGACCAAAAATTGAAGTATTTGGGGGTTTGAAAATGAAAGGAATACAATATCCTTAAGGATTAAGTCTGCAAGATTAATTCCAGCAAAATTAAACTGATAGAAGTTTTAATGATGTGAGATGCATAATAAAGTAATGTCGCTTCATGACCTATACTTTTCCATTGGTGTTTCAAACTTCTTAATAACAATAGTAGCAGACGTTCACCACAAATATTTTCGTTTCTATGATAAAATCAAGACTCAATCTCCATATGGGTAGCAAGTTAATAGAAGCTGGAAATAGACTATCAGATCGCATCACCTCTTTTGCTTGAAGAGATGAAAATCTGGTCAGACGGCGATTTCCTCTCTGTCCACAATCAGGTCATCTTCGAGAAACGTTCTTAAGTAGTTTAAATCACTATTTAATCGATGTTTATTGCACCTCAACAACACCACATCGAGCAGCTCATGCGGCGAGGTACCAAATCTTAGAAACATGAAATGACAACGAACTGGGGTTGCACTGGTAATTCCCTCGACCCGATCAGACTCGCGCATGCAGTAGACCCACGCCTGAAAGGCGTCGGCATTGTCACCTAACTTGGTTGACAAACGAAAGATGACTTTTTCCTCCTTTACCTTTTGGTTAATTTGTGCAGTACAGTACAGTATAGTACAGTTTCATACAGTAAAGTAAAGTGTAGCCTTTTTGTCTATCGATCTTGCTTTTGGCGTTTAAAAACTGAAACCTTTTTGCAGTGTAGATTTCTTTGACCAAGTCTCGTCCTTAAAAATTAACGTTCTGTCAAGACTTGACACCAAGAGTGACGTAAAAGGAAATAGAGTATTGCCCTCAAACCTGAATAATAGCAAAGCCAGTACTACACCAAACAGGTATTACTCCGCTTACAATGTTGATATTTTCTCATTCGTAGCTTCAATGCAAACAGAAGCCCTAGAAGAAGAACAAATAATACCATGCCTGAGTCATTTATATGGAAAACCTTCCCAATGCCGATACAGGTATTCTTCGGGCGACTAGGGATTATGCCAGCTGGCTTTTGAAAGCATTAATGACCCAGGGATTGTGCACGTGAATGAATTTCTGCCCTGGTGCCTGAATTGACAATCCCAGTCTAACAAGGTATGGATTTGTTCTCATTTATTCTCATTTTAATCGCATTTAAGCAATTATGTTTCTCACATTAATCCTGTGGCATATTGGGAAAAACACTTTTTGAAAGATTCGTATGAATATTTTTATATACATTGGATGGTTTTAAGTTTCCTGCTAAATTTACATAGGTAGCTACTCTTTCATGAGTTCCAGTATAGTTAGGTTTTTCTTCTAAAGAGTGAAGAAAAGGGTTGCAGGTTCCCATAAACTGGATTGGAATGTATGTGATGTTTCTTGTGACACCGATTGTTGTACTTCTATAATGTTGATGGCATTTCATACTTAGTTCGTCACTACCGCTTAATGGTAGCTTGAGCTTTTCGCAGAACGGTAAAGTCTCCTTTCAAAATACGCCACCTTCTGCAGTCAAACCCTTTGCAGCCACACCCTATGCAGCCACACTTTCTCCGGCGATACCCTCTTCAGCCATGCATCCTGAAACCACACCTTCTGCTGCCACACCTTTTTCAGCCACACCTTTTTCAGCCACACCTTCTTCAGCCACACCCTCTGCTGCCACACCTTCTGCAGCAACACCTTCTTCTACAGCCAAAAAGTGCTATAATTATTGGATTTTATAATTCAATGTTGGTTTAGATCACCTTGTTTTTTATATTACTCACAGGATCAACCATATACCTTATATAACTATGCATTCTCTGTTTGAGGTCAGTTGTCTGAGCCCTGGCAAGAAATATACCTATCCATTTTAATGCTAAAATGAAGGAGAACTAAAGCTATATTTTTGGCACCATCGGTGTGCTTCTGTCTGTTCCTGGCTTGTTCAGGACACATTTCAGTAAAAGACTGATCCTGAAATGACTATATTTATCTGTAGAAAGCAGAAGTGATCTAGAAATAGGCTTCCGATTCCGCCCTTTGTCGTGCCCATTATCGATCGATCGTTTGCACATGGTTAATCGTTACTGCGGTCACAAAACCACAATATACTTCGCTCTCCCTTATTTTATTGACTGCATTAAAGGGTCCGGATATGACCCTGTTCGTGTTTGAAAGGCTAACCGTTGAATACTCTACTTATTTTTAGCTCGATCATGATTTCAGATGAAGACTAAGACACATGAGATTTCAAAGCAGGGTGTAGATTCTTCTTTAGATATCTGCCTTAGGATTGACCAGGTTCCTTCCTGCTAACCATATGGCCTCTTGGCATCTCATTCAGAATTTCATCAAAGTTTTGTAAGCGATGTTCTAGGTATCAAAGAATAGTAGGCGTTCTTAGACTGTTGTTGTTGTTGTTGTTGCTGTTGTTGTTGCTGGTGTTGTTGCTAGAGACCCGTAATTAGAAGCTTTTTGTCATCGGGCTTTTAAAAAAAAGTTCAGCAAAAGACATTGACTTTTTCTTCAGGGAACATGCAGTCATTCTAAGAATACCCCCAGCTCTTCAGAGGCCAGATATAGTAATTTGTATGGAAAAAAGTTTATGTGAATCTAGGTTGTTCAATGTCATTCTTGAATTTGCTTTTGGAAAGTAGGGATGTATCACAATTGCCAATCCAAAGGCTGCTCTACTTTTAACTAGATTGTTACCATTCCATATCTGCAGTTTTATTTTTGGATAACTCTGAAAAGATTTCCAGGTTTCTTAGGAAAAGTGCTGTACAGACTTTAGTGTGTATTAAAACTGGCAAGCTTAATAAGATCATTAGTTAAATCTGAGTCACAACTCAGAACCATGCATCCTCTACGCACCAAACCGTAATTAATAGTTGTATTGTATATAAAGTTTAAATCTAGTAAGTTACTATAGTTTGTACGAAACAAAAGCAAGGGGAAGAAAATGTCAAGTTTGATGTCATCTTTGACATGCATTTGTCGTTTGTATTTTTATTTGTTTCTTCTTAGCATCCGAAGGTAGTTTAAGGACACTAAAAAGCAATGCTTATCCATCAATGCCCTCGGCCTTCCTCTCGATGTGATCATACACCATGATTCCTACGTCTTGAATTGCAGAGAGCTGGTGACTCCCCTCACACTGAGCGAAAATTAGGTCATGTCAGGGACTCGAACCCCAGAGCCTTAGAGAGTCAAAGGATGAAGAACGGGAAAGGAATTGCAAAGCCCGTTCTTCATCCTTTGACTCTCTGAAGCTCTGGCCCAAGGGTAGACTTGGCCCAACGTTTCTTAAAATTCAAAAACTATGCTGTAGTGCTTATTCAAATGGATGAATTTGTCCCCCTTCAAATGCCAAAAAGTGGCCAATTTCTATTTTGCGCAATTTTTCAAAGACCTTTTTGCAAGAGCCTCCCATGTTCCTTTCAAAGAGTTGCATCCCTGGTTGAAAGCACGTGATTTTTGAAGGGCGAAAATAAAGAAATGAAGCAAGAAACATCTTTTCGTGTTTGCTTTTTCTGCCTTGGTGAGATCTTAGCTACATAATTGTTATTTAAATATAGCAACATACAAAATATAGGAGATATTTTCGCTTCCTTGCTTTGCGCTTTTACTTCGGTAACTTTCCCATCGTGGTAATCACATTGGGGCTATTTCATTGCGAACGCCATTTAGAGATGATAAACAGACGTGAATCAACCTTATTTCTAACTTGGGAGGTCTTATCATGCACGAAAATAATACCCCGAAACCCGAACATCTCATAAATCCACTATATCTATCCGTAATTGTTTATCAAAATTTGTATGGATATAACCACGATCTTCCCTTCGACAGCCAGCGTTCCAAATTTTCCCACTGCAGTAGACGCCAGCTTTGAAGATTCAGGAATCTACCCATGGATTCGCATATGTAATATCACCTTCAACAGACAATTCTAAATACATTGACATTTTATTACATTTGTCGCATCCTTAATCAGCCTCTAATAAAAATCTGCGTTAATAGATTTGGTCTTGACTACAATGTCGTCACAAACAGCTGTTTGTACTTAAATCTGGGTTATGTGTATCGTCTTCTGTTATATAGGATCAAGCCTTGTTATTCAATACTGATGGCTGAGTATGTTTATTGTAGAGATGCACTAATAAGGGGCGCTGTTTTCGTTGTCTAAGTCTCGTAAACATCTCTTATCATCAAGCCCTTCCTGTCCCGCATCATATAGTAAGAATCCGCAACCGCTCCCTCGCCTTGTCCCATTCTCCTGTATCGGCAGAATGCAGGCTTTACTTCTCTAATGTAATATTCACTAAGGATATTACCGAATAACAAACTTAATAACACATGTTTCCGTATAGCGCTCTACTCTTATCTCAAAGGGAATAATAACTGTTAAAGCCTTGTAATAGATCAAATGTGGATAAGACAGAAGGACTATTTGTCGTTAATGCAACGAGTGGCGTCTTACGGCGTCCTAACATTGACCTCTGTGACACGAGCAAGAAAAGCAATCATTACTCGTTCATTGATTCCTTACCACGGATATTTAAACCTTTTTTTCGCTAACCTATGAAAACGTAAATGAAGTGATGTGATTTATTTAGATCATATTAGACCATTGTGTCACGTGATATTTAGGTTAAGCAGCGATTCGCCATAATTTACCATATGAAAACAAGACCCTCATGGATGCGAGTCAGCTGTACGTAGACGAGAAAAGCATGTTATCTCTTTCGGCCAACTCATAAGGTGCGTGCGACGAGACGAGGAGGCCGAGCGGCCTATTTCATTCGTATACAATACAAGATAAACCTTGTATTTTTCTGGCTATTTTTGTGCACCGATGGAAAGGTATAGTTTGGGATAAGCAGATTTATGCGTACACGCTTTTCGGTGACGTCCGCGTAGAAAATTGAGTTTATTATAGCCCTGCGATGGAAACAACGATGCAGGAATCTTGCACTAGTTTAGCTTGGAGAGATAGAGATATAATCATTCTCTTTAAGAGGTATCTGTCTGGCTTTATTGTTGGTCAGAGTGATTAAAACCAAGTGGACCTTGCCCAGGGAGATTGCCTCTTTCCAAAAACGCACAAAAAGCCTAAATCTTGTGTATTGTTTTAAGTAGTCGCGTTTTACAGAGCTTTCAAGAAGCGTTGTATATTCATAAATTTGCATCCTCTCAATTGGTCGTATTTAGTTACCACTCCCCAACCAAATTTGAAGAAGGCCAGATAACGCTAACAGCTAGTGTTTATTGTTGATGCTCCTCCTTATCACCAGTTTTTGCCACCTCAGGTTAATATGACACCCAACGTGAATGTAAATTGAAAATAAACGAATATTCCAATATTTATTAAACCATAAAATATGGTTGTCTTTAAGCGCAAAGGTTTTTAATCTAAAATTTGCCAGTCATGTTAGCTTTATGCATTCTTTTTATCAGAAACACATTATATGAACAGCGTGACTTTAAACATTTTTCTTTCATGTCAACAAAACAGTGCATATTCATCAGCTAATCAAACCTGCTACTTAAAATATCAAATCAAACTGTTATTTAGTAGTCTTAAACACAATTTATGGTATGCAGTTGCAGAGAAATCAATTGTGAAATAAGAGAAACATTAACAACACTCGAGCCTTGATTATCCAAAAATTAGAACATCGATCCTTGGCAAAAACCATTTGGTTCTTATAAGCAAGTACCAACAAGCATCATCGTCAAAATATATTTTGCTTGAATTTTGGATCGGTTTAGTGAGAATGTAAACTCGACAACCCTCCTTACACTTCCGATGTGACACATGCAACGTAATGTTGCCAATTGTGACTTGCTCGACGATGAAGTGATATTTTCTGACTTTGAAGTGATACTTGTCCCAACCATCAAAGTTTGGGCCTTTCCCAGGCATGACTAACGGATTAACTTCATAAATCCTGGTTTATAAGCTGCTTTTTTAGCTTTTAAAGCTTTTACCTCAACGTAAACGTGCTGATGCCATGTATCCTGCACAGGTGTTTTTCTCAGTACTTGAGCAAACTGCTGTACCGTTGATTTCCTATGATGCATTCCACACACCTAAATTAATTTTCTATGACGCATTCCTGGAACCTGATCTGCATTAGAGCATCAATTGCATTTAACTCTACCAACTTCCAAGTGCATCAATTACCGTATTGCAACCTTTCACTATTTCATCTCATCGTCAATAGCTTTTGCTTACCTTGACCCAATCTGGACACGTTTTCCCATAGATTTTGCTTGCTACGTTTGGGATTTCTTCAAACACTTCTTCTTGTATGCTTCAAGCCTGATTTCAACCACACTAGACTCTTTATTTCTGTACAATATTATTGCCATGGAAATGACTATGTTCACCCATATATTGAGTCGTAATTTTTCTGCAGGCAGGATTTTGTCATCAACATAAACAGCGGCAAGCAAAGCTTCCCTTCCTCCATCAACACTGATTGTTGCGTGTTTGAAGCCAATCTTTTTCAAGTGCTTGTCAAGTGCTTCATTTCAATGATTAGATCATATAACCTGCCACTCAATTTCTCAACCTAGAGCTATGGTTGTTTTATATGTACCCCTTCTTTCACTTAATAATTCACAAAAGCAGTTGCCTATGTTTGATCTATTCTATTCCATGCTAAGCAGCTGATGCATTGATAGTAGCAATAGACTCTGATCCTAAGCAAGGCAAAAGGTTTCATCCTCGACCAATCCATATACCGTCTTGTGCAATGAGCGATGCTATGTATCAACAGGCATCGTAACAAGTGAATAGCTGTTTGCTACCCAATAATCAATGATAGGTCTCAACTTCATCTAAACTGATTTTTTATAATTTAAACTACGTAATTTTCTGAAGGTATCCTTGGATTTTTTTATCTTTGTAAATGTATTTTTCTGTCTCCTATATCTGTTCCACAACATTTCCTTCTTTTTTGATCCAATTTTATAAATAATTTTTATAATATACTAACATGTAACAACAGATCCTTTTATCAATGTAGTAACCTTATAGTAAACGAACATATTATGGCCCATGTATATAAAATATACTATCAGTTTCATGTTACAGTTAGTTATGTGTGTAGGCCGTTGAAGTAGATATATAAATTATCGTTCTATTTTGTTTGGAACCCATGCTTTGCTCTATCTCCTTCGTATCTTAACAATCAGAATATCGCTATGATAAATGTAACCTAAATTATCTTTTTATACTTTGTGCCATCTTTAATGTCACTTTTTCAAGTGAAATCTTACTTTGTAATGTCATGTTACAATTTTTGACATGTAAGCAGTTGTGTCATCTGTCATGTGACGTGTCATTTCTCCATGTGTCATGTCGCATGTGGCGTGGAAGCTAGTTTTGTATGAAATCATGTATTGACAAATTCTGTTTCGTTGCCATTCTTTTTTGTCTTCGTTTCAAAAACTATGAAATTCGCTATTGTTTTATGTTTTCTTGTTTTTTGTTTTCTGTGCTTATGTTTGAAATACTTATGTAACTTTTTTAGAAGATAATTCTGCATTATTTCCTCGTGTTCTCTAATTGCACCCACTAGTTTTTATCTGCTTGCTGGACAAATGGCAATTTTGTTTCTCCGTGACCAGCCTCACTCAATATCCAATAAGATAATCTGAAAGATTGTTATGACAATTAATGACATTCATAACGAACCCTCTTTGTATTGCTGTTTTCTCCTGGTTTGCAAAAAGCCAAGGCTAGGTGTCGTTTGAGCATGGTTTGGCCGATACCGTAGACGCTCCTTGCTTCCTGTGCTATCTTTGCTCGTTTTCTTGTTTTTGCCCCCTATGAGAAGCCACTGTAAGCTCAGTTTCTACCAGGTACTTGTATTCAGCTAGTATTTGCCTGTCACTTGGAAGGAAGCAAGAAATTTTCTCTGGCGCATTGAAACCTCTTATCACATCAGTGGGAATTCTCTGCCAGTAATTTTCATGTCTTAGCGTATGATTAACCTTACATTTTCTCATGCGAATCAATGAGTTTTGATGTAGCTATACAGGTGCTCTTCTTCAATGTTATAAGATGCTTAACCTTGTAATCTTTTATGATGTATCGGTTACAGATAATTAGTGGCAGTCCGGCTCTTGTTTCGTCGTACTTATTCCAACATGAGTGATGAAAGCAGGGCCTAACTCACTTTCTGAGGCACCTAACCACAACGAATCGTTTATAATGAACTAGGACGATATATCTTAGCATAAGGAAATCCTTCTTTGCTGTCCAGTCTATGCCTAATTTTAGAGACTTGAAACGGGATCGAAATAAATCCGTCTATATGTTTGTACTTTTAACACTATTTGAAGCATTTTGATCTATGACACTCGAATTTTAAATTAGTTCGGGAACTCTATAACATTTAGTATCAATTACAGGACAAGGAAGTGGCCCATAATGTCTGCATGTACCGTCTTAAATCATTTTTACTTATGCATTGCCTGTCTGTTAAACTGTTCTGCGAACTGTCTAGGTTTGAATGCAATGCAACAGGAACGTGCAAATTATTCTCTGCCTTTGTTGCCAGTTTATATAAAAATGGTTCAATGCATCCGGCGAGATATTTATGATCCAATAAAAGTATTTTTCTGGTTGCTAGGTAAGTGCCTGTCAGTTTGCTGTTGGCTTCCGATGCTATCCATTTATCCTAGTCTGCAACTATTGCACAAAACAGTTTCTTATCATGCTATTCAGTTAACCCCCGTGTAAAATCGAAGAGCATGCGCACTGAATGAAAACACGGCTGCGCATGCTCTTTGTCTACAGAACTGTTAGTCTTTCCTTCGGTTGAAAGACTGCTCCAGAAAATGTGCTCCAGAAAAAAGTCCAGAAAAGTTTATGACCATAGGTTATGGACGTCTCAGTGTGCTTTAGGTGTGTGGATGGCTCAGTGGTTAGCGTCGTGGAATATAGATCCAAGCAGGGCCGTCGGACCTGGGGGTGCTGGAGCCTCCTTATAATTGTCAAACTGTAGTATATTTTTCTTTATAACAGTGTACAGAATGAAATGACATACAATGGTATAAAATGGGCAACCCAAAATATGAATTTCCTTCGGATGGACATTTGTCTTGGGATTCGCGACACTGATATTACGAATCGTTCGCTTAGAGTGAGAAGATTCGTCAGCTCTCTGCAATTCCAGGCGTAGGAATCACGGGATTTGCTCAGATCGAGAGAAATGACTAGGACACGTTTCTCTAAGAATAGTATGTCGGTGTCCTAACACTACCTTTGGAAGCTAGGTTCCACCCAGTTCAAATGCAATGAAAAATAAGTTCTTTGGAAGCCAAATGTCTCTGCTAGCAACACTAGCACCACGCCTTCTTCCCATTATTTTTTAGAAAGTTTTGAGTATTTGGGTTATTGGCTCAAGGAAGGATGAGCACTTTTCTTGACTCGGATGTGCTTCTCATTTTTTTAACCCACTATGCTCTCATTTGGACCCTTTTATATTCAAGTTCCCACATTATAACATACATCCCTTTTCTGCAAAGTTATGTCAAAACCTTTTGCGTATACTTCCCATACCTCAGAGTGAAGTTGTCAGGCTTTGCTATTTGGCAAGAACATAAACGTTTAGTGAACACAAATCTCACAACTTTCGTTTTCATTTCAGTCATTGCCGGATAAAGATCAAAAAGAAACGGCTGCATTCTTTCATAAAGGTATGAAACAGTTCTATGTCATTATAGCCACGCATTCTGTTGGCCTAAGGTATGCGTCGCTATTTATTATGTTGTAGGGTCAGTTAAGTGAGGAGGCAGTTGTGAAACAGAGGCTCATGGAGGAAGTCTAGGTCGAATCTAAATTTCTCAGACTTAATCTAAAATGAGTCTAAAACATGATTGAATCCCCCAACTTTGAGATATTGCTGGGTTTATGGATATATTGCCCTGTTTAATAAGACTTTCTTTTGCGGTAATTATTTTTTATTCAAGATTTCAAGCTTAATAATTATAAGTAGCTATGACGCCTGAGCGAATATTTTTGCTACAACTCGGGGTTTCAGGCACAGAGTGTTCATCCGACAATCAAATCCCCGAGCTATTCGAACGAAAGTAGATTCCCTCTTACCTAATTTTCATTATTACTCATTTTGCTGTGTCTTAATGACATTGATTCCTATTTTAACATGCAAAGACAAGAAATGAATACACAAATAGTTGCAATCTTATACTCTAGCCTCTTTGAACTTATGCTCTAAATTTATCTTTACCATTGCCCGATTCGTCCGCTTTAAAATATTCTCAATGATCTCTTGATTAATGGCTGTCTGGACTGAGGAGAGAAAGTTAAGCATTTTTTGTACAAAACTGACAATTGCAGTTACCATCTATCGATTTAAATTTCTTTAATTTACAATCGAGATTTAAATCTAAGATATTTCTTGCTTTATAAGAATTTCTATCAAACTCCTGTAACAATTTATTTTGAAATTTTGACATTAGTTCCATAGAGTCTTTCTGTTGACCATTTATTGAGGGACGATTACAGTTGGGCCCAGTGAGGTTTTTTCTGACAGTAGCAACCTCTTGAATTACGTTTAATTTAGTATCATTTGTTTGGAACATGGCATTTAACTTTGCAGAACACCCGCCATAAAATTATATTAGAGAGCAAACCTTGTGTTTATGTATGAGGCCGGAGCGAGGCTGCTCCAGTATCATGACCGAGCCTCGTATCCATGAGTTTATTTATTCAATGAAATCTCCGTGAGAATCATAGTGATTTGTGTTTCGATTACATAGTGATTAATCGAGTTAAGTGCTAGATTACCTCCTTTAAGCAGATGTTTTCGACTCGGCCTAAGCTAATCCTGTTCATCCATGCTCCTTAAACTCGTGTCTCCGAATGCACTTTAACGCAGAACCTAGTACGCGTAATACTATTAAATCTCTATTATTTTTATAAAGTGATATTTATTGAGTCCCTGGCTGTCATTATGCCTTCACAGTGGAGATCTCCGTAATCCTCGGTCTCGTTGCTCATAATAAAATAAACTAATCAATGCCTGACAATGCTACATTTTGTGATACCAAATGCAATTAGCATGAAACGGAGGTTGCTCGGCACTAATCCCGCGCAGTCTAAGAGGATCAGCGAGAGCACGTCCCTGCGTGTTAAGAACAAGAGATCCATCTCAAGAATAAAGGAGTACTTAGCAGCCAAAGTATTCAGGCCCACCGTGACAACAATGACAAATCCGCTTTTCATCAAAGCATATACTCGTCAACTCGATCTTGTTAAAGAGCCTAGTTTTGTTTTATCGTTGTATGGCATTTCGTGAGAATCCCCATCATGTTTTGATTGCATCACCATGTCAGTTGCCACGAAAATAAATAAGTTGTAGCAGATTGAATATGCGCTAATTCCTAATGACAAAATGTGCTGCATTTAAAAACATACCAACCAAATTTTAGCCCAATTCTTTCGGGTAAAATTGCTTCCATCTGGTAAAACTAACAAAACTTTTGATTGGTTTCCGAACAAGAGTACATAAACGAAAGGACAGGCTTGTCAATCTGTCAAAATAATAGGTAGGATTTGCTCGAAACGTTGTTGATTAATAATCTTTAATTCATTCCTAGCTCAATTTACTTAAATTCATAGTTATTTTCTATTATATTGTACAGCACAAAATATAGTATATTTGCCCCATCGTCTATGAGAAACGTATTGAAGACACCACCACCGTAACTGGAAAATTAAAACTCTCTTTACATGGCCAAAATACCTATTACACCCCATAAATGGCAAGCCTGTAGCTTTTCTAAGATATTTTCCCCTAGTTTTTGGTGTTATAAAAGAAAACTTGACTTTTCTCCAACATAATTTGTATTTTCATGAAGAGCTGACTTTAATTAGCATTTATAGCTGTTTTAGCCAACTTAAAAACAAAGAATTATCTAAAATAATTATCATAACCAATATGGCAAATCATATAAAGTTTCTTATAAATCTAATTATAAGAAATAAATTTCATTTGGTCAATCGACATTGTTATTGCATCTATGCTATTGTTACTCACTAATGCACACAATGAATTGTGTTTATAACATCATCATCTATAATATGAATTAGCCTCAAGCCTTCCCTTTTCTTAATTTTTCTTTTTTCTTTTTCTTTTCGTTCTTAATTTCGTTTTTCTTGCCTTTTTATATTGCCCTTCCATCCCTTATTTTGTAAAATTGTCTGCCCTCCTTCTCTTTTTGTCGTTTCGTTTTCCACAGTCATTGCCTTCTTCCCTTTTTTCATTTCTTTCCTACCATTTTCTTTCGAATTTTTTATTTTTTCCGCTCATTTCCCATTTCATCCTCCACATTTTCTACCCTTCCCTTTTGCCGTTTTACCTTTAATTTTCAACCTTCATCTTTCTTACCTCTCTGCAAATGTCACCTTTCTTTCTTCCATTCTTTTTATTTCTTCAATTCTGTCCTCCCAGTCACTTGGCTTTCTCCCTTTCTCCCTTCTTCACTTTTGGAGTGTAGAAACATATCCTTTTTTAATGAAATTTCAATTTTGTAATGTTCTGCCAGAGACAATTAAAGGCCGAACGTGTATTCCTTCAAAACTTTTCTCTGTGTACACCCTGGTCCCAGACATGCACTCTCCTAGTTGGACTTCACTTCATTTGACTCATTATGCGAAGGACTGTGAATCGAAATGAAATAACCTGAATTGACAATATTACCTGCCCCCACCAACCTCTACCCTGTTCCCGATTCTCAGGCACATCGCTGCGTTGTTTTTTTAAAGTGGGTCTGGGAGCGAATGGATGGTTCAAGGCTCGATGGATCTGAGGTAGCATTACCACCTAGAAACAAGAATTCCTTGTTGTTCGGTAAATTATCGTATATCCAAGTATAATCACATTGATGCATCATTTTTGTGTGGAATCACAGAACGAATTTATTCTAAAGTCGTGGCAGGCCAACAGTTAAATTAACCTATGTTCTCTAAACAAACAAGTCTCCTCAAATTTATTGACAATTATGATGTCATTTTATCTGAGATTGTACATATCTTTTTTTTTCATTAAATTTATCGAAGTTTATAGAAAACAATGTGCACTTGTTAAGGAATGACAATTTCGCTAAATCTTTAAGCGAATTGTTTTAAGTTGTAGGGAATTAGATCTAGTTCAAAGTGTTACAGAAGGCAGATTTTGCAATGGGTAAGATCATTGCTTTCACGGTGACTTGACAGTTTCCTATTGTGAGAAAGCCATTCATGTAAAGAGTTTGGTTCATAAATTTTTCACGGCTACATGATTTTCTTGTTTTAATGTCAGCCAATTCACACTCAGTTTCTGTACCAAGCTAGCTGTATCACTTATCATAGAATCATTCTTTTCGTGCCTGCTTTCGCGCCAACCAGCCTTGTCTTTGTTTCTTCTCTCCTTTTTATCTCTCCTTTCCTTTACCTGTTCCTCTAACGTTTACCATTCTCTGCTTGATCCTTGATTCTAAAGAATTACGCTCATTTTATAACTTTGTAGCAGTTTCAGGGAGCTGCAACCTGGGGTGCCCCCAACTTTTATAACATGTCCCTCTTTCTTTTCCCTGCCTAGCCAACACTCTCTCTGTCTACTTTCTCCCATCTCTAATACACTACATCCCTTCCCTTCCCTTTTCTTCACCAGCACTGTTGAATTGATTTGCTTTTCCTCGTGCCATCTTTCAATTCAACGTCTCTTTTCCCTTCTCTCCCTCTCTCTCTCTCCTCCTCCCTTTTCCTCAGAAATGAGGCCTAAGGTCACTGAACGACCTTCAATATAAGATAATAATGATGATAAATAATTTGTTTACATTTGGCGTACTAGGTCTCAGTCTAACAGCAATAATGAAGTAATTAAGTCCAACTATCTGTGAAAAATTAGTATACAATGAATATATGGTACAATTCAAAAATAATCTTAGGGTATAATATTCTAGATAAAACCTAACCCAGCAATAAATATTTCACATAATCTACAGCCACATTCTACAGGATGTGCTCTTAATTCCTTTTTTAAATGTTGCAAATGATTGGGACTCTCTTATACTGAGGTAGTGTTTGCCACAGCTAACTATCTCACAGTTTATATACCATAAAAAGTTGTCCTAGCTTTTGAAATACCAAGATTATTATTATTTCGCAAATCATAATGTATATTCAAGTAAGCGAAAGAAAAGCGACGTGACACTAGCGTAGAAAATAGGTGCGAGGTTAGGAGGGGCACATATGCAGTCTGGGCCGGACTTCACCTGTTGGTGACCTGGAGATGTTCAGTGTTTATTTTCAGCAGAAATGCACCATGGCGTCTGTCTTTTTTGGGATTATCCCTCTGATCGAAGAATCATCACTGTGAATCAGGAAAGGCATTGTCTGTGATTTAACGCAAAACCGCATGCAATGAACTGGCACAAGTTTAATGCTGGACGCAACGAAGGAGACAATTAATTACGCAGCATCTTTGGCGTCACTGTTTGACTGCAGCGGATTAGCTCAACGATTCCTTTTTCACACAAGATCAATGTCGAGGAGACTTCAATGAATTTTTGCCTCGATCTATCGCAAGGTTCTGTCATCGAGCGGGTTTAAATGAAGCGCTACACAAAGATGGGCTTCTCTTTCGACCACTAATCCCATTAGCCTTTTAGCATAAATGATATGTTTGCCGACAGGATCCAATGTAAAAGCCCCAGAAAATTCGATATTTTGCACAAAGTCATTTAATGTACTCTTTAATCTGCTCACCTTAACAGGTAATCAACCTTTGTGTATTCCTGGATACGTATGATAGAAGCCGCGCGGCAATTTCTCGCAAGTAGGAGCACTCGTTGACTTTGCCGCGCGCATGCTGTGCATCACTCCACCGTCACCGACATCAAATCGGCTCTATTTTAGCGGAACTTTTTTCAAGCATAATTTATGATCAACTAAATGTCTGCACCAAGAGGGGTCAAGAAGAACTCCACGTGTGTGAAGATTACTGCTTTGATTACCCCATTATCAGGTACCCAGGTTTTTCCACAGCTTTCCGCGACTGACATTTTTTAATCTACCAAAAAGATGGTAGCGGAAATTTTTTGCATTTTCGCACTTGCCTTCGATGGGTTGAAAATCTGGAAGTGATTTATGAGTCAACAAATTCTTGGTTTGTCGTCAACACCAAATCAAAAATTCAAATAACAAATGTCCATAATAATCATTATCATTAAAAAAATTTTATGATATACGACTGTCATCACTTGAAGATAGAGATTTTTATGTTTTTTCCTTTTACTATTCTTAGTTGCCCGTTATGATAAATCAGGGTACTGGGAAAAATGTTTTTAAGAGAAAGGCCATTAAAGACAGCGTTTTTCTGATAATGCCTAACCATGATGTTACACTCTTTTTTATAAGAACCAGTAGATTTAAGTTCAGGCTGACTGTTCTTAATTTTTTCGAAAATCTGAGGCTGGATTGTTCTTAATTTGTTCTTAATCTAATAGGGTGTGAGCAGTGCGAGTGCTAGCTTTTTCGCTCTAGGGTGGTGTTCAGGCCTCATTTGCCAACAAAGTGAGTGAGACAGCCTTCATTTGCCGAAAAGTTTGAATATTCGACGAAAAAGCATCCTACGTGGCTAAAAATCCTCATTTTTGAGATAAAACGTTGTTCAAAATTGCATTTTGCAGAAGCTCAGCCTCAGCTTGTTCTTAATTTGTTCTTAACTTTTTGACCAATTTTGAGGCTCGTGTTCTTATAAAATTGTTCTTATAAAAAAAAGAGTGTTTTACAAAAGAGCGACAGAGGCTGTCAAGATGCAAGAAACCTTTACGAATGCGACTCAGATGAGCAGCGGTGCAAGTTTTGCTGCATATATGTTTTAGGCCCATATTTTTGTCATTACAACTGAATAACTTTATCAAAGTAACACATCGGTTTGTTGAATTTTTGGCAGAGCTTAGCACTAGTTTTCTTTCTTTGATCTGTCAATGTTTCGATGTCAGAAGTAGGTTTTATAGCCATTTGCTTACTTTCGATTCAATTTTGTGTGTAAGTTCAGCTGGGAGAAATTCCTGAAAATTTTACAAATGCTAGGCATTATAACACATGGTAAATATATTTTTGTTAAAAAAATAGGCAGCTGAAAATGTGGCTTTGATTAAAGCGAAAATGGAGCTTCAAGCTTGCAAAAGGAACACTGATTAAGGTCACATCTTTTCTTATTTTACTCTTTAAAGTAAAAGGACTTTAAGATTACAATGAATGCTTTTCTTGTTCTCTAAGTGCTCCCAACCTTATTGGAATAAGTCTTTTTTATAACTAAATGTCTGCAACTTTGAGAAAAACATAAATTTTTGAGAGTTATCCCAAATCCGTCTTTAGGCCTACATGTTTCAACGCCATCTAGTTGTCTCACTTCCAATTCCCCTTTTCGTATTACATCCAGCGTCGATGTCGATGTGCCGCGTCATATTGTTATATACTATTTATCATAGTAACTCTAATACCTTATAATGCTGCAATTGTATCGTCCATGTAATACTGCAATAAAAATAAAGCAATAAATTAAAAAGTACGACTTTGTACATGGAAGTTGAATATCATCGCGACTTTGAGAACACAACATCAGGTCAATAATTTAATAGTGTGCTTCATTTTTATTATTAATATTAACATGTAGCTGAATTATCAACAAACTAGATTTTTATATTATAGTGACATTTATTAACAATCTACGTTTTTATATTAAAATCTGGGGAAGTGAAAAATTTGCTAGTTTCTTGCCATCAATGCTTGAATATTTCGAAAGTTTTTGCTCGTTTGATTGATAATATCTAATAATGAATTCTTCATTTTAGTTAACTGCTTCATTTACAAAATTATATTTAAAAGTATTATTTGTATTCTCTTTAATAGTAATTTTGAACAGTAAATATTCTTCGTTTCTTACTTTTTCACATAAACGTCCTAGCAACTTCTGCATCTTCAATTTCTTTCATGATATATTTCTTTTGGAAATTGAAGCAATCTTTCATTTGTTTTTAACCTAATAGCTTCAACAGTCAATACTTATTTTAACTTTCTGTTTCGTAAATTCTATGAATATGTTTTTTATTTTTCTTCGTTTTTGTTCGGGGAAAGAATTTCTGCAATCAATATTTTTTCATCATAAAACTGCTAATTTATCTTTCTGTTTTTGAAAATATAAGGAATTCTTGAATTTTTTTTAAAACCATGTTGCATTCATAAAAATTTTTCCCAAACACTTTCGTTTGCAAAGACAAAGAATTTTCTTTTATGAAACTTCTAGAGGCAGGGTTTCCCTTCGTGTCTACCAACGTAAAACCATTTAAGTTTTGTATCATCTTCCCCACATAGACTGAATTTATTTTTTTTTCAGGGCAACTTTGCATTGAATTAGCATGTTTTAGAAATATGTGTTGCATAAGGTTTTGAGTGTAGTTTGGAGTTCTGGGATTCAGATTTCCAAAAGTGTCTTTTCAGATTCCTGCATAAGTTTGAGATCTTTCTGCATGACTTCCTGCATAAATTTTGAGATCCTGCATAAATTAAAGATTCCTGCCTGATTTTTTAGATCTTTCTGCATCGTTGGTAAAAAGTTCTTTCTGTAGTTTTGGAGAAATCCCGACAGAGCACTCAATTTTTTTTCAAAAAAGAAGTCCAAAACAAAAAAGAGGCTACTGGACTTGCGAGCCTCTACTTGTGGTCGATTTGTTTGTTGTTTGTAAAATGACGTCAACAGTGTATGTTTTAAGAAGTTCAACAACACCTAGAATGGCTGTGCAGCACAGCTTTATTTGTTTTTCCTTTCTGCCTTATCATGCCTTTTCATTTCTAAGCCTTGAAAAGTTCGTCGGAAAAACACGAGCGCAGACGGCGATAGAAATCCACTTGTGGTCTTGTTGGCACAAAGGGACATCACTGTCTATTAAAACAATTATGAGCGCGCATCGCTCAAAGCTTGCCTCCCCCCTTGGCGGGCGTCTGCTGTCTAACGACAGACAGACTGTAATGTGATCAGATAGATAACGAGATTAGGCGTTTGCTTGTTAGCACAAGGATTTCTGCATCCATCCTAACAAGAAATCAGGGTGATTACAATTAGTATGTACCACGTGAAAACAGTGTATCTTAACGATTATCACTCACAGCAGGACAGTCTTCGCAGGGACAGACAGGCCGAAGATATCTGCTGACACTTACGTCGTGCGCTTATTACTACAGGGGTACTTTGTGCAAATAGTGCAGTGACAACAACAAGGGTCACTTCAACGTTACCCGTCCACTTGAATCATCGCCGGTGACACTGAAAGGCACACGGTTCAAGTAAGGTTATCAGTAGTCAGAAGCACCTAGTTGGCTTCAAAAGCACAAAGCACTTACTAAGGTACCGTTTGGTAATACACTCTATGTGTACCTTGTACCAGTATTGGCCCATAATTAGAGTTATCACGACACATACGAAGAGACGAAGTTCTGTCGCCTTGTAGCACATCCGAACACGATGAAGCCAGCAAATTGCTTTTCCGTTGAATACATCCTCGGAACACGAGACAATAAGCCCAAGGAGGAAAAAATTGTTTCAAAAGGGAGAATTTCAAGTAAGGACGAGGAAATACATATTAAAGTCGACGTTCAAGCTGGAGAAAAACAAGAGAATACAAATGAAGTTGAAGACTCTCCAATGACAACTAACGACAAAGGTAATTTGCTATTCAGTCTGTTGCATTGTTTTTCGTCCCTTTATCCTTACATATACATATGCTTGCTATGCATCCGTACTGAGGCCGTTATTTTTCAGATCCGTTAGTTCTATTCTCAAAATACGCCAAATAAATCATAACGTTTTTGGCAAATGGCGTGGTTACTGCACTATCTACGAGTACTTTTCAAACTGGGGCTTTTCTGTCTTTCTTTTGCTTCTTGTAAAAGCAGGCCAGTGAATGTCAATTTATGTATGATTCAACACTTCAACCCACAGATAAATCTCAGTTATTCTTAGCAGACTTTATATGTAGACAGTCTTTCCCCTAATTTTTGCGGCGTTGCGGCAATTTTAATGACAATAATGACAATCTAGATAACAGTGCGGCTCCTGCTTGAAAAGCTACGCGCTAGAGTCAGATTTTCAGAATCTGTCACTATGATCAAGAATACAGTTCTTCTTTGCCCTGTGAATTGAGAACCAAGAGGTTTTTGGATTCTTACAAACATAGCGTATTTAACGGTTTTAAAATACTATTTTGTTTTAACTCTTAGGAATAGTTCAGTAATGTTGAAAATTATAGCTTGACAGTCTAATTTTACGATAACCGAATAAACATTATTCTGGCAACTTTCTTTTAACTGCCCCCACCCCCTCTACTTCCTGCTGTCCAGAAAAAGAAGTCTTCGTGTTTTCTGGTGCATAAGAACTTCCTTGCTAGAGATTCTTGGCATTTAAAAGCTGTTAAGCGTGGATGTTATCTTGTTTTCTGTCAATGGAAGCTCCTTGGTGCTTTTTTTACAGTATAATCTCGGTATAATCTCAAGAAATCGCTTACCAATAAAACTCGCTTATCGATTTTCAATACAAGACTAATCGTTAAAGAACGGCATTGAAATTATGTAATTGATCTGGGCACTTGCCAGGCTAAATGTTGCACGAGATGTTTGAAAATCTGCGATTGGTCGCCTTTGGGAGGAAGCTTCGCAATGAAAATCAAATTCTGGTGCTATCAAGGGCTATATTTGTTCAGACTCTAAGAAGTTCAAAACACTGATGGTATCAATAGGTACAAAAGAGGTTTAAAGGCTTAATCAAACGATTTAAATTTTATATTAGTTTGTTTTGATCGCTTAAGAAGCTGGTTGAGGGTCAGAATGAACATCACGAAAACGATTTATACCTATTGCGCTGAAAATTATATCACATCATCTATGTATTCAAAATCTGCAAATTACTACTTAAGCTGGTACTGATTTCTTTTGCTTCTAGAGAAGGACAATTTTGGTGCAATGTCACGCATTTACATGAAGTGAGTCAGTGAAATAAGTCGTGTAAATCAAAAACCAGTGTGTATATCTTAAAGTAAATCTTTAAGTTGAGCTGATAGAGGTTATAAAAAAGAGGCAATACCTTATTACCTCAAGACCTTAGATACTTTTGGTTGCAACCTAAGGATAACTTGATTTGCGAGCAAATGTTGAATTCGTTGGTCTCTGATGTCCTTGGCTAATTTCAAACGGCTTGAAGGCTTATCACTGAAAATTATTGAGCACTGTAAGAACCATAATCAGCATTGGGACATTTTATTTCCTCATGTTCGAACTGTAATGCATCTTTAAGTAAATGGATACTTTTTATAAACTGGCCAGAAATAAACAGAGAGTTCTAAAATATTAATCTGTGTTCAGCATCTGTTTACTTCGTCATGTACTTTAGACATTTGGTTTCCAGGTAGAACTTTGGAACATTTATTGGAGAAACGTTAAGGCACTAGTGGCTGTCGGAAATTGCAATGACCTAGTGATGTTTAGTGTTAATGATTGTGCTCAAGCAATAATTGATGGTTCCTGTTGTGGGTCCAACATTTATGCCACGAAAACATATTTAGATGTCACTTTCTAGATATGAAGGGAATACGCACATTTTCTTTTAAACGAACGAAAAGTACTTTTAGTTTAGTTCATAACCTTGCAACCAAAATTAAAAGTAACTAAAAGTTTGTAGTTAGCTATTTGGTGTTAAATTCACAGATATCAGTTATACGTCAACCCAGAAAACATATTTCCCATTCATTGCTCTGGTTATCACAGAATCTGAGTGTGGTAGATAGCTTTGATTTGTTGGTTAGGACCTTCTTTGGTTCAGGTCCACCTTCCCATTAAAGCAAACTTTGCAATTTGGAAGCTGCTAGGCTTGGCAGAAAATACAATCTTACGAAGAGCTGAAAAAGCTGTAGACATTTCCTTTTACCATTTCATCAACTAACTACAAAATTAATAAGGAAAAATCTGGTTTATCAAAAAAATCCATAAGCTCAAAATATTGCAACTGAGACAAATTGTCTGTGTTTCCAATCGAAAATGGCTCCGCCAATAGACATGAAATAGAATGTAAAATTCTTAAGGTGTGGATAACGATGTATTTTTAATCTATTAAATCTTTAAGATATATGTATAGATATATGGATTGAAGTACTTTTTATCAAGTGCTACAAATAAAATCTGTTCATTGAAAAATTCAGTACCCTTGTGGCTGTTAAGGCAAATTGTTACATGAAAGGTTCTGCAGTCAAAATAGACTGTCCTAAATCACAAGTTGCATTGTATGTGCTCATTTATAAATAACTGTTGTGAAAGAATCACTGCTTCAAAGACAGCGAAACTTGTAAGAGCTGAAGAAGAATGGTAAACGCTAACTCGTGTTTGAATGGAAATATTATTGTACAGTTAACTAACTGGTGTTCTAAGTATTCATATTTGAAGTATTGAAGAATTCACATACATTTAAGTTTTCTTCGCTATTTTGAAGCTATAAATCGGGTTTGAGCATATTGATCAACATGCATGTAAATGCTTTCTACTACTTTCCATAGCCTGTGACACAAAGGGCATCTGAAGGGTCTGGTGACAATCGAAGCTCGTTTTTTAGTAGCCATATTTATATTCAAATATGGTTAAAATATTTATAAACAATTAGAAAGATTTGTGCTTTCAAAATATTCTGGTGTTTTGTAATCATTTCTTTCTGGTTTCAGGGTTTTTTTCCTTATTGGCATCAGTCACAATCTTTGAATACCGATTTGATTTTCATGAAACTTGTAACTTTCTAGATTTTGTTTCGCATTTAGTCGGCGACCACTATTCTTTGCCTTTAAAATAGCCAGCTTTTTCTATGGATCGATCCATTACGGCAGATAAAGTGCAACATAGAGACTTTAAAAGTTATCTATACAATAAACCCAGAAGAATATTGAAGTTTTCTTGCAGTTCCCTCCTTGCATTCAAAGTGAGTAATACGAATATTTTCAGTTCTAATGAAGACTTTCTTCATGTTTTTGAAGCTCAAATTAAGCTTTTCTTCTTCGTGTGTTTGAATTTGCCAAAACAAATTTACTGTCTTGGAAATTTCTACCACCTTAATGTGAGCAAAATTTACAATCAAACCAATCATCTAAGGTGGATTGTTTCTATTCGATTTTCCCACATCGCACGAAATTGGGCTTACTTGCTTTGGTAAACTTCAGCATTGTCATACCATCTCGATTTTGTTTTGTATGTTTGCTATAATAGCAGCGCTATTTATCAATTCTATCTTCAAACTTCATCGTAAATCTGCGATAAGAAATACTTGCATGAGATGATCGAGAATTATTATTCAGAAAACAACTTAGGATGGTAAACAAGCTTCTATATTTAGAGTTATATATGGAGCAATTTTACAGCTGTCTCTGGCAACCTTGATATCTTTAAACGAAAGGTGGCAGATTAAATATTTTGTTATATATCAATTCTGACAATTTTTTAACAAATAAAATCAAACCTGTCAAATTAATTCACAAGTTTTCTGGAACCGAACATTTGGGTTGAAACAATGGCAAACTCCAAGTAATTTTTATTGAGGTCACTGCATCAGGAAAGATTCGAATTTTCTTCGTTTTGAGATATATACAAACAATACTCCATTTGTTTTCAGCACTTCGTTCCAATTCTTCTCTATCTTTAGTTTACTACATGCCATCACCAAAATAGCTAATGATGTTTAAACAAATTGCGACTTGTAACTTGAGGTAAAAAATTTGTCCCAAAGATATTATGGCAGTTTGAGACACGAAGTTACTGTAGAAAAATATGCCTGGATTTTTGGATAGCGGTTGATTGTAGGGAGCAGAATGTGTCAATGCCCATGATTGCTGCAGCTATGTTGAGAGAATTGAACGCAAATTCTGTGGAATAAGAGGCTTTTACACTTCTCTTTGGTCACAAATGGAAAAGAACATCAGATATCTATAGTTATTCAACAGATCATTGTTGGAAAATCATGTTTTCTCTTCTTTGCAACACATCACAGATCTGGTTCTATTCTAGTTTTTTAGAAAGTGGGTACTGATTGCTTACGACAAAAGCCATAGCCGCCGGAGGGCACGCATGAAACAGGGCCAGTGGGCTTGTTACCCCTACCTTTTGGAAGCTTCTCTTCCCCGGCCAATTGGCCCAAAGTAAAATCTGTCCAGGATAGTCCATTCAACTAGTTATATAGGTGCTTTGCCGCTACTTAGAGCATCATCAACCGACATCAACTTCGTTTTATAAGAAACTTGTTATAAGAAATTGAGAAACAAGTAAAGTGTGAACAAATGCAGAACTCTGAAATTTCTGGTTTCTTTCAATGTGATTTGCTGAGTGGCAAAAACATTCAGATGCTACCAGTAGAAATTCTTTACTTTAACCAATTTCAAAAGTTTCTTATTTTTTGTAATTAAATTATATGCTAACTATAACTAAAAATTATTTTCCCGGCATAGAAAAATGTATTTAGGTATTTAGGACATTAATAAATTGGAAACGATGAAACTCTTAAGAATCTATAAAAAGCTTTGGTTATTATTTAAAGAAATGGGTGTATACTGAAATTGTGTTTTGTGACTGGCATTCATACCGGAAATCATTACCTGAACAAACGCGATGCTATTTATATAGAAAAGATCCGGGTTCAAGGTTAGCAAAAAATGCAAAAACTATTTTTGTAAATCCCTTCAGCAAAAGCGAGACGAAGAATTTCCGTATTGTCCTTTTGAGCTTAGCAATGATTTTCTCCCAAAAGGAAGGATATGTGAGGATATCGGCAAGGAATTATCAGTTAATGATTATTATCGATAACTTTCTGCTTGGTTGCTAAATTTAAAAAGTTACATTAGTTGTTTGTGGAATATAAGGATTAAAGTCTAAGGAACGTAGATTCAAACATGATTTATGGCAGGAGCTTTGTCTATCTAAACTTAACATAGAGAGCGCGACAGTTTTTTCACTTTTGATCTTCTTTACATGTATATATGTCACCTTGAAATGTATAAATTTCGTCTTATTGAATTCTACTGCTGTTAACTGGTCTGTAGTGTAGTGCTTCATACCGTATTTAACAGAGTACTGTACTTTGATGTAGAACAGGGCAGTTATAATGTTACTCATACACACAACTTCACTTCAACTAAAAATACGACTTTTATCTTTGTATTTTCATAAACATTTATGCCATAATCTCCGTTCTAAACCTTCGTGTAATGAAGACTATTTAAAACAACAATAATTAGAATTATTAAAATGTTATTGCTTGTTGGATCATAACGTTGAAAACAGAAATAACTAGGAGCCTCGATTCCTGCTACAACTGCTGCTAAACCACCAATTACATTAGAGCAATTTGATGTTTTCGGACGTTCTTCTAGACTTGTCTGGCGCGGGGATGGCTCGGTGGTTAAGGTCGTGGCCTACAGATCCGGGAATCTGCTGGGGCTCGATTCCCTGACAAGACCGAACTTTAACTTAGGAGTAAGGCGAGTCAACAGCCCTCTGTTGTTTCAGGTATTAGAAGCACGAGCTGTGATAACATCAAGAGGAAGGACTAGGACACTACTCAATAAGCAGAGATTCTCAGTGCCCTAAAAACTTCGAAAGCTTGGAAACGAAAAATATCTGCTTATTACTTCTTCTTAGTCAATTTTGTGATCCTCAGTCTTTGACTTTGTACTTTTCCGTTGTATTACTAGATAGAGCTTTATTTCGCCAAAGAACTATTTTTCCAAAATCAGAAGTAGTAGTTGTCATGGATATCAGGTAGCAGCCCCAGTGTCATAGCCATGACCAGTGTACGTTTCCTTTCTATTCGTGAAATAGAATTTAGAAGAGGTGAAAGACGTTTTCAATTTTTCTAGAAGGCGAATCATATTTTTGCGGCCACGCCTTTTTGTTAAACCCTATCTTCATTAGTTCACTAGAAAAGAAAGTTTAAGAAAGTTTTTTACAACAGCTTTTTGGACAACAAATAGGGAGCTGGGTACTTTCTTTGAATATTAAATATAAAAGCCTACACCTTTCATTTTCCAAGGTATCATTCACATAGCTATTGCTTCAAAACCAAAAGAAAAATAATATTTACGCTGGTTGCTGCATTTGTAGTTTCTTGGCCTTTTCTAAGATCTTATTTGAGGTTGACGGTTTGGCAAGGACGACTCTTTGCAATTAGATATAAGACAGCATGGGTTTTCATATACCAAACATGTCTTTTAAAGTAATTTTAAATGGGCTGTTAAGAACTGATAGGAAATTCAAGGTCGGACCTTCTTATCCTCTGTCCACGTAACTGAATACTGTTGATATGTCACCATACGTTTTGTCAAGACAAGTACCGTTTTAAGGAATATTTAGAACTTAATGATTCGCAGATGGTTTCACTGCCTGTAACTTGTGGGGTCTGTTGAAGATTCTCTTCAAACCTGTACCACCAAAGCCCAAGCAATAAACATCTTCCTGATGTCATATGGTGTCCTGAGGCTTGCTTCTTAGGCTCAGGCTTTTTGATTTTATTTCATTTCTCAACAATACTACGCTCGAAAACCTCAAGCGCTGATGCAGAGAACGAGTGAAGAATAAGAAAGTCGGGGACGAACCAGCGAAATTAGTTTTTTATCTTCTGTTCAAAATTTTGCTCTTGTTAGGCCAAGTTTGTCCGTGGTATGGGTTTAGCCTGTATTATGCATTTTGGATCTGCTTAAGGGTTGGTTATTTGAAAAAAGGTTTGGTCATCACTTAATGAAATTCTAATGAATTTTGCAATAACTATATTTTCAGATTTTTGTTTCTACGCACGTAGAAAAGAAATGCAATGTATCCTTTATAGGCCAGAACCCCATTTAACCAAATTCTATTAAAAACTAAACAAATGTAAAAAATAGCTTTTTGCTTCAAATCCCAAAAAGCTGCCTTGATTTGTTTTCTAATGCATCATTTAAACTAAATATGTGCTGGGAAGATGCCGTTTATATTCAGGTAACATAAAGTATTAGCTACATTGAATTCTCCCACACCATCACATTAGAAACTAGTTCATTGACCTTGCAATCTATGTGCGTATACCCGCGGGTCACTTTGTTGTGTTTTCAGCTCATAAAAATTCGCCAACATTCGCCAGTGACGTTTCTTTGCGCAACCGTTTTATGACCTTTCCCTGCTATCAAAGACAGCACGCTTCACCCTCTTGTGGCCTAGGCGCCATTTTTATATATCGCATTGCAAGACGACCCCAATACCGAGGTCAAGAAATGACTAGTAGGATATTGCAGTGACCCAATAATCATTTGACTACAAAACATGGTCACTTGATTTATTTTCTGGAAGAGCTTTTCAGACTCAGTAAACCGTCGATTAAGATTAATTGTGCATCGATTCAACTGAGATGCAAAATTTCCGATGTGCTCAGGTTATCATTGCAAGATTAGCAGTTTTATTGTGGGATTACTGAAACTGCAAATTATATCATTGCTTATTGAATGCTTCAACAGGGGCAAAATCTGCTTTCAAGTAGATCAACTAACACTGCAACATATGATTGGACTATTAAATACGATGTCGGTCTGTCACACACTGTCCTTAGTGCTTTTGGATTCTGGTTAAGTGTTGGTGAAGTATTGACTTCTAAGATTCATCTTGGGAAAACAGGGAAAATGTGGGAACGGCGTTTAATTTTTTCATATAACTCGCAGTTGATTTTTTAGGTACATTTTGTCATTTATCGACAGTTTAAAGATTTGTAGAGTTTATAAAAAATGTTTTTGTCCAATTCCAGGTTCTTTTTGTAATGCATTAGTTTGCCTATAATTGTCGACTTTTTGTAACATTTGTGTCCAATACTCAATGTTACTCTCAACTATCCTTATTACACTGATGCATGTTAAGACCCTTATCTCTTTCTTTTCTCTAGGGCTAGACCAGAACGACCCCCAGAGCCTGCATCGAACTCGCACAGCCTTTACAAGAGAACAGCTAAACAAACTCGAAAAAGAATTTGCCAGAGAAAACTACATATCGCGAGCAAGAAGATGCGAACTGGCAGCTGAACTTAATTTACCAGAAAATACCATAAAGGTTTGGTTTCAGAATAGGAGAATGAAATGCAAACGGAGAAGGCTTTCAATTCACCGTCTACCATATTGCTCGCCTGCTATTTTCCCGCCAAATCTCCTAATACCCAGTCCCCTACCCCCATCGTGTCCTTGCTGTTTACCACCTCCTCCTCGTGATTATCGCTTCGAAAATATGGAGAACAGACTCATTTCGTCTTGTCATAACAGAGACTCATATATCAGCCCCACCTGTAGTGGTTGTCGCCCGTACCATCCGCTTCCATATTGAGTTTTGATAGAAAAACAATTATGGAAGTCGTCGTCTTCGAAAGGGTAATAACCAGTTCAGCGACATCCAACAACAATTCCAACGACAATTCCAACGACAATTCCAACGACAAATTCAACGACAAATTCAACGACAAATCCAACGACAAATCCAACGGCAAATCCAACGACAGCTAGGGCTTTATAGATTCATGAGAATATGGAGGTACTTGTTAAAATGCCTTGGTTATCTAAAAATCTACGGCAGATGAAGTTGGCTCTCCAGATTGTTGTGGCCTAAACGATGATGCTACACTGCAAATTAGTGTTGCAATCTTTGTTTTGGGGCAGGTTTCAGCAACATCACGGAATGAATCAAAGAATATAATAAATGCAGCCTCCCATTTAGAAAACAAATCAAATAACAGCCAGGCCTAAAAATGGATCGTTGGCTGTTGATTCGAACACTTTGACCTTGAGAGTTTAATTCTGGCCCAGCACTCACCGACCAAGATTTAGATACTGTTTTTAAATAACTATGGCCAATCTATTCTTACAAATTCTTTAATGACGGATACTATTCTGAGGTTTTCTGAGATATTCTTAGATCAATGTTAAAATATCGCATTGTGATTATGCACTTTGTAAGTGTGTTTGAGAACCAGTATACTAGCGTAAAATATTCCTAAAACGGAATGATTTTTTCTCTGCACTTTTTGACCGCACTTTTTATCAGCGATTTTCTTTAAGCATAGCAAATATCCAGTAGTAAGCAAGTGTGTTTAACAAGTTGTGCTGCCTCGATAATTTTTGTCAAGTTACCTGATACACTTGACCAAGAGGTTTAGAGGTGCATCTAATTTGAAGTACCACCTCACCTGAAGCGACTAAATCTACCTTTCAAAATATTGTGCATGCATTTCAAAGTAACTCAAGACGATGTATTATATTGATCGCGTGGATCGAACATATTTGTTTAATCTGGTTTCTTATGTTGTATAATCTTGATATCTTGATTTCCAATTGTGTAATCTTGATTTCCAATTGTGTAATCTTGAGTTCCAAGTTGCTTAATCTTCATTTTCAAACAGTGTGCTCTCGATTTCCAAATTGTTTAATCTCGATTTCCAAGCTCTTTTAATTTCAATTTCCATTTTATGTAATCTCGATTTCCAAGTTGCTCAATCTGGATTTCATCAATTGAAGAAACCAACCCCAAAAATTGCAATATGAATTTTCAGTACTATGGCTGATGAGTACATAGAAACTTGACGATATTAACAAATACACCCGAAAATTATATTTTTCATAACTTATGTTTTTATTTTACGTCTATTACGAAATTAACCCTTCATTTTAACGGAAGTTCTTGTCCTATGTAGCAGAACACTTTCCTTACGTTTTTAGTATAAATCTTCTTAAACTGTAAACTAGAAAATGGATTTGATCTGCACACTTTGAAGAAGATTACCAAAAATGATGGATATAATAAACTCTTCACCATGTTTGTTAAGGAAACTAAATTGATCATGGTTAATTTGCTTTGTTTATTTTGGAAACAATTTATTTTTCTCCTACCGTGAAAATAGTAATTTTGAAATTAATTCTTATATTTTGTAGTAAGTCGTCATTGTTTTTAGCTTCTTTTGACGTAAGATAGAAAACCGTGGAAATTCTTTGTTGACTTTTTTGCTTTATTTCAACACAGTCCTAGTGATTGCTTCTAACCTGAAGAAGATCCGAGCATTTTTTCTAAATCATATTAAGCCTAACCGAACCTTACCAAGCCTTAACGGGCCTAACCGAGCCTTGCCGGGTCTAACCGAGACTTACCGGGTCTAACCAGGCCTAACCGAGCTTCACCGGGCTAACTGAGCCATACCGATCTTCACCGGGCCTAACCGAGCCTTACCGGGCCTAACCGAGCCTTAACCGGATCTAACCGGATCTAACCGGATCTAGCCGGGTCTAACAGGGCCTGACAGCCCAATATTATTTATACATTTCATGATAGTAATTTTTGTAATAGCATCTTTTCTAGAAATAATCATTAAAATCTTCTTTTTAGCTGCCATGAAAACTTCGATAGTACTCAAACAATCTGTTTTCTTCTATTACATTTTTGATAGCTTCTTGAAACTACTTTATGACGAAAAAATGTAAACTTGTCATGTGTTAATTTTTGAAACTGTTTAATTTCATTGCCGTGTCCTAGTCCTATCAAAATATATAGATTTATTTGATAGAAGGAGTTGATGTTTTGATCATTGAATGAAACCTGCTTCGACAATTTATTTAAGTTTATATGATATCGTGTGAAATTTAAAAATACTATGAGATGGATGAAATATAATAAAAGCTTGTTTTATTCTTATGAAATGCCATCTCACTTGAAAAACATAGTATTCTGCAAAACATAACTGCTTTTCAGGAAAAAATAACTGACTGTGTGTGCTTCTTGTTGTGTTTAGCATTTACAGCGCAAATGTTTTACAAACTTTCTTCGAAAGCAATTTAATCATTGCTTCTTGATATCAATATAAGCTGATCCCCAACTTTAACAAGCATTTAACTTCAGTAAATAAAGAAGTTGAATAAGACGTAAAATAACGTTTAATAACTGGGGATATGCTTTATACAAATAGGGTTTTGTGCTATGAAAAAAACAAGTTTAGCTTTACAAGGAATCTCAAAAGTAGAAAAAAGCTGAAAAATTGCAGATATTCGGCATCAACCAAAGGGTTGAGCTCCTAAGTCCCCCATACCCCTGTTTCAAATCATTTTAAAATATATTCGAAGAAAGAAGGGTGTATTACCAAAAGAGTTAACCTAAGCACATAAATAAGAGGAATATACAGGTTATTCCTTCACTCCGCTATTTTCTAAATGTATCGTTGGCTCTTTATTGCCTGACAGGGTGGTATCTCTTGTAATAAGAAGTAATTTTGTGTACAAACATTTCAGGAACTTCACATCAACATATCTAGAAGAAAACAGGCTCTCTCCTAACCTTATCGGAAGAAGTATTTATAAAATCTTTGTAAGCAAGTCTACGGAGCGGGCATTGCATTGTTCGCTGCGCAACAATAAGTCTCCGTGCGGCTTTCGGCAAAGGTTAATAAATTAGAACCTCCATTGAAAAATTGTACATGATAAACCGCAGAATTAGAATCACACCAAAATGTCGCTGATCCCTTCGTCTATTAAATTGATTTTCAATTGAATTCCAGTTTAGAAACATATCTCCGACAAGAATGGAGTGAGTCTCAAGAATACGTTACTAGCAAGGAAAACAACGTTTGTTGAAGAAAGCTGTAAATTACTTTTTTATGACTCCTTTTGTCGGCTTGCTTGTAAGTGCAATGATTGTTCATTGGTAGATTGAATTGGATTAGAGACGAGAGCCAATTCTCACGATTCATGTGGTACATTAAGTAATTATGCGTTTATTAATATGTATTTGTTTTCCCGTTCTTCGCATAGACTCATCTTTAACCCCTTCACCTGTTGAGATAACGATGGTGATATGGAAGTGTCTCTGTGCCATAACGAAACACACTAAACCACTTTGAATTTGAATTGCTTTAATCCAAACCTTTGTTGAGCATTTGAGAAAAAGGAATTAAAAAGCACCTACTTTATATCACACATCTATTGCGTCAAGTTTAAATTTTTCTTGAAACTAAGCTGACCCCTTTTTTTATTACTGGTATCCCATTTCACTTTTGGGACAAAAGAAAGAGACACCTATTCTCGTCATGAAACACCTCCTAAAGTGGCAAGAAACAATTCTGTCATCTTTATTATTATTCACAGTTTTGCTGCTACTTTTAATTTATTTTATATGTTCTTCAAATGCTTTATTTTGTAAGTCTTAAGGTAACGATTTGATAAACATTTTGAAGATTACTTTGTGACAATCTTGAAAGCGAAAAGAAAATAAATGCTTTATTCATCCAAATTTTTTGCTACGCCATTAATTTCCTCCTTTTTATTTAAAAATGTTGACATCATTTGTTCTTAGGGGGCAAATTGAAAAGTTGAATGTGTATAAGAGTTGTTTGTGCCCATCAAAGAAAATTGTAGTCAAAAAGGAAAACATGTTTTTCAAATTGCTTTTTCCTTAGTCCAAAATGAATTTTTATTTCAGCATTCATAGCAATTATGGTTGCGTCAGTCTTCTGCTAAAAGTGGCAACAGAAATTATTTAATTATTCTATTTCAGAATCAGTGACTTATAACTGTGGGTACCACTACCCTAATACAATTTTAGACCATATTAAACCAAATAGTTTGAAACTTACTTGACTCCACCTGACAAACGTATTAAGTATTAAAGTTGCTCATTTTGTGAGATACTTGCAACCTAAACTTGAATGAGCGTCATGAAAGGGGGGGAGGGGGGGGGCTCAGATCCAAGCTTCCAGCCATTTTTAAGCAAACACTATTCACCGTAAGTGTTTGTTTGAACCTCCTTTGCAGCATGGTCTCAAAAAAATTCCAGCACTCGATACAATGGTCATCTCAGTCCCAGAATGATTTTCCCAGTCCCAGATCTGGGAAATGACTAAACCCCATCTCCCATTGCAGAAATAAGCAAATCCCATTCCTCTGTTTACTTTCTCATGGCTCTGCTAATAAAAACGATAGACAAACAGGCGGTATTTGAAAGAGAAAAATCAGGCAAAATCAAAAGCAAGCAATGCATCGTGACAAGAAGATCTTTTCAATCTATCAATTAAGAAATATAAATGTTTATATACGCAATATATCATAATAGTAAACAATTATCTACAGAATTACACTGTACAATACTAAGAAGATTAATCGAGGCTTGTCCTAAGTCCCTGTGACGTAACTGAAGGTATTGTAGAGATGGAAAGACTACACCAGTTGCAGTAACCGGAAGATCATAAATTCCTCTCAACTAAGATGTATTCATCTTGGAACAACTTCATCACTTTTTGCTTAAGTTATTTATTTTTATATAAAGTGGGAAGTTGGTAGATTATGCTTAAAGAAACGGTTCAAACGTTTAAACATTCTCTAACAACGGAACCTTTAACAATGAGTTGCATCGGCAGAAAAAGTCTGATAAAAGTTTATCAGTAAGACGAGAAAAGTTTCTCTTTTAATACACCATTGTTTTAAATGAAAAGTTTCTCTTTTAATACCCCATTGTTGTATTGAAAAAGTTTTAAAAAAACTCTTCAAAAGTTAACTGAACGAATTTCAGCAAGTAAACAGCGAAAAAGAAATGAAAACGGCGGCGCAAAACGAAGATAATAGTCTCGATAATCACAAGCAACACGCCGTCTTCATCGGTATACTCGTACAAAGCTCCGAAATTTTTCACCCCAAAACTAGACCCAGTCTCCGAGCTGACAACGAGGCCGCGGTCCGTCAAAGTGGTGTATTCTTGGGATCTTGTTAAAAAGATCAAAAGTATAAATAAGCAATTTCAATTTAAAGATATTATGCACACTCGGTATTAAAGTCGGAATATATAATATATGGGGATGGAAAATTAATTTAAGATCTTATAAAAAACTGTCCCCGTCAATTCCATGTCTTAAAATTCATTTTCTAGAAACATTATTCGTTTTTGTCATTTATCTACTTTCACAATTATTTATCCCACTTCATTTTTTTTAATTATGAATGGTTACTTTTTAGCAAAAAGTTTTCTTAGAGCTTTCTTTTTATCCAGGAAAGCAAAAAAATTTTAACTGTATTTCACATCGAAGAGAAATCATAACAGACTCTCATAAAGCAGGTTTACATCAATTTTGTTATTTTTTAAATCAATCATTAACGTATCTTAAGTCTTAAACTTACGCATTTTATTTTTGGTTTTTGTTTTCGGCATTTTAAAAAGAAAAGCACGTTTGTGAACATTGCATCTCGGGCGATGTTATATCGATTGTCGAAGTCCAAATTAAGTATGGAGAATTATTTCTTGAAAATCTAGCATGGATTTTTAAGACCCAGTACACTTTTTTTTGAATGCAAAATATTGACCATAGTTTTGCATAGGTTGCTGGTTGATTTTTCAGATTTGATTGGTTACAATATCTGCTGCCTGAATGTGCAGTTTCTGCAAAATTAATGTTTTCTCTTCTTTTGACAACTCTTCTTCACTTGTTTTGACAATTCTTTACGATGTATAGGATGTCAATTGAAACTATTTCTAGCATTTTATTACTTTTTTCACCCCCAATATCCAACAACTTGCAGCAGCACTATGATAATATATTCACGTCTTAGTGGAATAAACAACAATATGTATTGATTTGTTTATTCTCTGTGTTTTTTGCAGTTTCATAAATAAACTTAACCTTTTCCAAAATCTTTCTCTAAGGTTTTTTCGATGCTATTTGCCACTTTTGTTTTGTGATTATCATCCATTAGTTGCATTTCCGTACGCTCTTGGATCAAAATTCAATCTTGTCTCCCCAGTTGGTTCAGACAAGCTAATCGTACTTAAATCGATGAACCATCATTGTGCTTTGCTTCCTGTAATTCAAAGCCGAATGCAAACCCCTTCGATAGACCAAATGAACTTTGAAGGGATTTCCACTAGTTTTATTTGAATTAAAATATTTTAGTTGTCTTATTCCGTTGCCCTCCTTAATTTTGTTTGTGAGAATGTAATGTACGATCAAGTTTGACAAAACACTGGCGTAGTAGGCTCATTGCAAACAAATCATGACCGATTTTGCATATTGGCCCTAAGCTTGAAATGATCTCTAGAACTGGCATAAACTGCATCACACGAACTAACAATCAGAATTAATCTTTCAATCATATTTCCTAAACTTTACCGAATATCTAGCTTTCTTCAGTACATTATCCAGCCTGCTTGCGTCAGTTTCTTTGATGAAGAATGTGTCGGGAAAAGATCTCTTCATGCCGTCAACAGTCAGACGATCACTTGTATACATTTCGTCTGACGAAACCCTCGAGTTTTTTTCTACCTAAGGTGCTGTTTTTCTCTCTTTCATTTGTTCTATTTCAAATTTTCCAACCAGCACCTTAGATTATCTTATGCTGGCACCTTGCAATACATTATAATATGAAAATTATTTCAATATTCTGCTAGGTAACAGCGTTGAGTTTGTTACGTCAGAAAAAATCCCACACTTCTCCTACGAATCACAGTGTACGTTAAAAGATTAAAATGTGTTAAGAAGAACACAAGAATTTTGTTCAAATCTTCCTTTTTCAATTTCCTTTTGATATAATCCTAGCGTGGTGCTATTAAGTCACTTGCAATAGTTTCCTCAAGTATGCTTTCTTACTCCTTTTTTCTTGTCAACCATAGATAATGTTGTTATTTTACCTGCTCGTGCCGAGTTTTCGTCTTTATTTGCATTGGACCACTATTCACATCCAATATCCAAAGCCTTGGTTTATTACTGTCCTGAGATACTAGAAATGTAGAAATCTGAACTATAGGCCTCCTCCACCACAGAGATCGCAAACATTTAATAAACAGAGCTTTTGAAAACCCAAACAAACCCTAAGAAACAGTCCTTTCCAAAAATGTTTGTACTCGGCGTTTGTACAAAAATGTTTAAAGGAATTTTTAATAGACTTATCTTCTTCATAAAACAACTAGAATATATTTTGTTTTTAATGGCCTATTTCGATCCACAACTGGGTATATATTTCCTAGCGTAGAGTTTTCGGTTTATGTTCTGACGTTTTATACTCTGCAGAGTGTCAGACGAAAAGCTTTAGTATACTCAAATGTTAGCTTTTTTAAAGCCATTTTTAAGTTTTGTACCACCAAAAGATTTTTTTTAATATATTTTATTTTCAGTCCCCAAAAATAAAACAGCTTTGAAATGCTTTGAACAACGACCTTTTTGTTTTTTGTTAGATGTACCATTTTTTCGCTGAGCAAGACTAAATAAACTTCATTAAGTAATTGCAAAGCAGTACTTGTAATATTCTTACTTGAGAAAGCGCGACAAGAGATCACGTATTCAACTTTATCCTTTAAGGAAGTAATACTTATTGGATGAAGTTTGCATAAAACTATCTCCCCTTATTAGATGATTAAACTAGTCGGCACCTTAAACTGTGCGTTGGAGAAAAAATTAGACAGCTGATGTGTAATTGAATTCATAGCTCCAGAAAAGAAAATGTGGTTGTTTTGAAAATAGCCTATAAATGCCGGAATAGAATAAAGTTTTTTTTAAACTTCGGGCAAAGAGTTGGGGCACTATGCAATATCAGAGTTGACGCTTGGAGGTCGTTAATTGCTTTCTATGTGTGGAGCGTTATGATGTAGGGGATTGACTCCAAATTTTGCAAGACTCTCCTATTAAATGTTAAGAACTTTGGCATCAGGGCTGCTTATGGCAACGCAAGAGAAGGTGTTGGTAAATCCGTGAAAGCCTAGAATTTCTGGACAAAATATTAGCAAAAACATACATTCCTCACTTTACAAAATCTGTTCTCTCTTTTCTTTCTATGCCTTGTTTCTTATCTCATTTACCTTCCTAGGGTCTTTGATAAGACTTCACTTATTTCAGCTTTTCTTTTCAGGGACTTGTCTGTAGCTGACTTCACACTTGCTGACTGTGATTGGTCTGTCAAAAAATCTGTAAAAACTTGGCTAGCAATAAGGAAGATTTTATGAGAAACAAGAAAAATGGCACAACTGTAAGTAAAATAATTAGCACACGCGGAAAAGTAAATTTATACCAATTTAATATACTATGTAGCTGTACACATTTTGCTACTAAAAGCTTCAATATGTTCTACTTTCTTTATTCGAGTAAGTATCTAAGCATCATCTAGATTTCGTTCACTTTTGCAGGGTAATACGATTTGGTATACGTTCCGTCTGTAGTTCTAAGCTTTTATTGAAAACAAATGGGTGCTCAAAGGGTTTAACAATTTTTCAATGAAAGTAAATAGTGTTGTTTCTACATCACAATGGCAGCCCTGATGTATTCAAAATCAAATTAAAGACAACGAGTCTCGCGTAGCCGCCGGGTTATTTGTATTAAACTAAGATCACATTAGCCGGTTGAGACTGCGAAGAATAACACGTGATGATATGCAACCAATCACAGCCTTATCTTGTCATGGAATCAGCAATTGTATTTTGCAGCAGCTTAAGAGGGGTAGCACTCTCATTTGTTTGAAGTGCTGCGCTAATCAATAGAAACGCTGGTTCATTTAAAAAATTTGATATCAGAATATCATAATTTTCCTTTTTCAATGCACTTTCCTTTGATGCGCTATCAATCAACTCTTATAAGAGTTTTCTTGCATGTATCAGAATCATGTATCACAAACTTTTTTTATAAAGAAACCAGCCCAAGGCCTAGTTCCTATTGTTCTTTATTTTTTGGCTTCTGTTAAACAACTTGTCGAATGAAAATGTTGCTTAAAAGCCCCTTGATTAATTTGCACATTTACTGCTATGAAAATAGCACAGACACAAGAAAAACATCCAAATTTTGAATTTTGCTTTTAATTGTAGCTAGAAACCACTAGGTAAAAAACACAAAGAAAGCAAGAAAGAAGTTTTTATATATACAGTGTTGCTTTGATCTTCCACTTTTTCTGTTACTATTGAGGCTGTTACTATTGAGGTCGCGCGATCCTCTGGGTAAAAACTATCAATTTCCGCCTGTGTTGTTGCCGCTGATTCAGAAAGTGAGAGCCACTAACCCCAAGTTTTTATCATTGTGAGATTTATTTAACTTTTGAATCGCCAATGAGCAAATCTCTCAGCAACAAAGGTCAAGGTTTCTATCTTCTCCACATTTTTGAGAAGAATGTTTTTCATGGAAACCTCAAGGAAAGGCATGCTTAATGAATGAGCGAAGACTCTCCCAGAAAGACGACATTTTGCTAAGATTGTATAAAATGAACAATGGCATGTCGTTTTATCTTATCTTACCGGCATTTAAAAGACTGTATGACCTTTTTAACTTCTTGTTGGTTATAAGTTAAGTTATTGCCATTAAAAATAAGTAAAAAACTTCCTTTTAAAGTGATTTTCGTTAGCATATGCAATACAACAGAACGGGTATATCGCGATTTGTAAATGTGAAGTGAGCACATCTCTGCATAATTGAAAAAGTCGAAAATCTCTAAATTCTAACGACTTTGAACAAAAAAAAGACAAAACTAAAATGGGACAATTTGGATTTGCAGATTTCGTGATATTCTGATGACGATCTCGTTTTTGCTAAAATGGTGATGCTGTTGTTTACAAAGAAACGTGATGGCTGCAGGCTGCAAAAAGGCCCTAAACATCTCTAGCATTGTAGTGTTTCCTTGGGCATTGCTTATTTACTTTCCTCTTATTCACAATCTCTTCTAAACCATCCGTTAAAGAAATTGTGGATAGTGTATGTAGATTGCATTTAAGGCTATAAGAAGAAAGTGCTCATAACAAAAGGGCCAATAGAGTTTAAGTGCGCCAAAATTATTATGATAGTTGAATGCAACACTGCGATGTAGGAAAATGAACTCGGAGAAACATGATGATTTTAGCTCTTTTTTGTTCTTTTGTTTGTTCTCAATTGGTTTACATGATAATTATTTATATCAAATGCTATTCCACCTGTATGTAGTAACTAATTCTCTCGCCAGTAGCCGGAATCCCTTCATAATTCTCATAAAACAAATTTGGTGGTGACAGGGGTGGGATGATAATGAATGCTGTTCGCACTGTTTGTTATACTGCAAGTTTAGAATTTAGAAATCGGAGCTCAGGGCGCTTGTTGCTATAGTAACAATATTCTACAGTACAATTCATACAATTTTCACCGAATTTCATCAGGACCAGCTGTATTTAAAGTAATTCTACGTCTGGTTTCACGAAATAGCTATCAATGTTCTATCAACTGGGTTTTGACTAGGTTTGAGAAATTGTCTACGTAGGACATGTCGGTGAACGAGGTAGAACCTTTTCTGCTAGGACACTACGTAAAGGCACAGTCTAGACGTTGATGGGTAGAAAAGGGCTCGTCCTGCCCATGCGACAATTGTAACAGTATAGGTGTCGCTCATTAGTCATCAAGTAATTAAAATCAAAATACGTTGTAGCGAATCCTGCCATGCTTATAAAAGAGAGATAGCTCTAAAACCCGTTTTTGCATCAGTATTGATAAAAAACTATTAATCTTTTGAACTTACTTGATATTCAGTCAATTGTATTATACTTCTACGAGTTAGATATGTCTTTAAGTGCGTGCATTATGACAATAAGATGCCTATTTTTCTAGACACTGGAAATGCCAATTGAGCTTTACATTGAAAACGTAAGTTAGTTTCTTCTGTTTAAAGGTATATCAGAAACAATCAGAAACTATAAGGTACAATGAGGCTTAACGTCAGACTTTTCTATTTCTTATCATAAGTTTTAGAGCAAATAATAGAATTCTAACAGCTAGAAATTTATAGCAAAGCAATGGAAAAATCGATCAATGTGATTGTTTTATCGATAGTAAGGCAAGGGTGCTTTGCCTTCATTGCACCTTATACATTTCTATGCATTCCTAAATAAGCTCTTAACACAGACATTGATATGCTAGCATTTCTAGTAATGCTTTCTTTCTCTCCTTAGTAAGAAAGCCCGAATATCGTACCTGCAGATGCCTTTCGTTGGGCTATGAACGATTTTATCATTAGTCGAAAATTGTTGCGAGCTTACTGTTTGGAACAGTGGGCCTAAATTCCTGCGTGTTTACCCTAGGTCATTATAAACTGCATTATCACATTAACAAAGCTTCAAGATTTATTATGCATTCCAAAGTCGATCTAAAATAATGGAAAATGCCCTTCCAATTGAAATTGAAAGACTTTTCTCTTTACCAATGTTCGAAAAAACCTGAAAGAGTTTTAACTCAGTATGAATACTTTAAGAATAATTTTCTGGAAAAGCATGATCTTTTTTATTGAATTCGTATGATCTGAAGTGTATTCTTGAATGTAGTTGATTAGTTTCTAGCGTAAAGTAGAACTGAAAGGATATTGTCACGATATATGCAAAACTTCGTTAGTTTGATGTTCTTCTGGACTATTTTAGAATCAACTAATAAGAAGGCAAGCTATTTTTTGAGAGAGAACCCTTCACCGAGCGATGATATTGCTCACCAACATCAAGAGACAGTTGCTCGCTCGTAGCCTTTTTGAATACAGGTATCTCTCCTCCTTCGCAGCTATTCTCCGTTTCTTCCTTACTTTGTTCTTCTGTTTGCTTTTGTTTTCTCAAGCTGAATTTCACAACAACAAATAACAGAATCAAAATTGGCATGTTGCCATAACCATAGTATCGAAAGGTTTTGTCCGTGCCTAGGGAATGAGAGAGAACTCCACCTACAATAGCACCAACTGCTCTACCGAGCCCATAATAGAATCCTTGAAGTATCCCTTGAACGGCTGCGCGATAACCGGGGGGAGCTGCACGACCCATATAACTTGTAAGTGCAGCCCATACTCCTGCGTGCGCAAAGCCTTGGAGAATGTCAAGTGGCAGAATCAGCCATGGGTTCACAAGCATGGAAATTGCGATGAAGCGAAAGAAATTAGCCAGTAGACCAAAACATATCACCTCTACATGACCAATGTAGTGTATGATTGTTTCTGTGAAAAAGTAAGTAACTGTTTCTGCTACATGGTCAAGTGCTGATGAAAGTCCAAACAGGGTTGGAGGTGCCCCGAGGTCTTCCAAATGCCAGAACAAAAACACTCTTGCTAGGCCCATGCCTAGACCAGCATAGAATGCAACAAATATCACAACCATATACCTCCAGTCAAGAAATAATTTAATGACATCCTTTGGTGTTCCGCGGATGATATCGTCTTCATGTTCATTCTTGAAGGTGAATCTTGTCGAAACAGCCAAAGCGATAATCATGTAACCGAGAAAAAAATAGAAGCAATACGTGTAGTCTTTGCTAATAGTAACGCCGCACACAACATAACTCGGCATGCTATCGATAACAAGTCCAACGACCAACATAGCCGAGCCCCATCCTAAACTACCGAACATACGTTGTCGCCCGTACTTTTCTTTGTTTTCTCCGAGGTAGTTTAGCGTCGCCGTATCCGCTAAAGTCGTCGCTGGACAGGCGAAGAATTCTCCGACAAGCGAGAGAAAAAGAAGTAGCCAAAATACATTGTGGATACTTTCTTCACTAAAAACAACAGTGCCTTTCCGATGAGGGATAATTTTCGGCACATCGGGGTTGTTCGATTTCAGCAACTGTTGCACTTCTGAAGTCTCTTTAGTTACAATTTCGGTTAAATTTTTTGCCAGTAGCATGTATCTATGACATGTGTTGTCCGATGGTTTGATGAACGCGAATGGAAATACAAAAGACATCCAGCATACTATATTGAAAAGCAACATTACTTTTCGTACGTTAAGTCGATCTGCAAGAGAACCCATACTTGGCGCGCTGATGAACTCGATCAGAGGACGACAACCAACTAGCAGACCGCTTTGGCTTGGATTCATTCCGATTTGTTTGAAATAAACACCCAGTAATGGGAAAAACGAACCGTATGCGGACCAGAAGAAGAAGTAAAAGCCTTTGGATACGAGAAGTTTTCGGTTGATTCGTGACGGCATGCCGCAGCAGCAGTCCTTGGCGACTTGAACGCAGCTTTCGCGATGCTCGAGATCCTCGTCCTCGGGGTCCATCTTCTTGAGGCTGTTTATATCCTTCGTTTATAGTTTTAAAGAGCTTTTAATAGTTTGAGAGCGTATTTTATTATAAAATACTATCGTCTTCAACGTATTTCTTATGTCTCTCAGAAGCGAAATAGTAGAATAAGATCGTGTTCGATGTTGAGTAATTTGATCAATGAACCTGTAATGGCGATGATTCGGTTTGTTTTTAACCGATTAAATTGCCACCCTTGGTTGATCGAGTTGGTCATGGTTGAAGTTTCTGCTGGTGTTTCTTCCTTGTTTTTAATCAGCTCAAGCCTTACGTTAACACTCTAACCCCTGACGGGGCTAGCATTTTGCCTGCACGTTTTGGATGGGGTGATTGCTCGATGATCGGATGAGGGTAGCCCTGAACCCGACTGATGCATCCTACACGAAAGCCCATTTAAGCTACAACAGCAGGCCGTCTTTAGTAAAATATTTATCAACTAAGCAAAAAGAGTAGCAGAGAAGGTACTTAAAGGTCAAGTCAGTTCCGCCTTCACTTCTGACTCAATTAGAGATGGCTATATAGACGCATAAGTGAAATGTAGATTTTAGACCAGACTTTTCCAAACTGTGACCCGTAATATTGGCTGATGTGGCCCGCGCTGAGGCCAAAGATTTACTTTTATTTTTGGGGGCACATACAAATAAAAAAGTATGATAACTGATTTCAGAAGCAGACCAAGGGTTCAAATGCCTTTCCAATAGGGTTATAAATATTTGAAAAACTGGTCAGACGGGAACGGCACGTTCACGTACAATAGTTTTTCTTCTGTTCACGCGGGAACACACTCGTTCTGATCACTTTCTGTGTTGTGTTACAATTTGAACAAAGAGTTTACCAATGCGCATGTCTGTATTTCCATATAAACAATGCAACAGTTCGGACCAGTTCACCTGTTCACACGGGAACGAAACGATTGCATACCGTTCCATTTTCCGTATCCCTAAACGGAATGATTAAAAATGTTCCCGTGTGAGCACGCCACTTTTTTAGAACGGAAGGATATGGAATGGTACGCAATCGTTCCCGTGATAAACGGAGCCTAACAGACAAGCATCTTGCAGCTACCAAACAGACAGGCATCTTGCAATGATATATATAAATATATTAGTGGCCCTCCAGTTATTACCTGAATCTGAAAGTTGTCCTCCTTGAAAAAAGATTGGATAACCCTGATTTAGAAGGTAATCAAGTTAAGACTAACGGAAGAGGGCGGGGTGTCAAACGTATTAAAGGTGTTTGGCGATTTGACTCAGATAGTAGATTATCCCATATTTTAAGCTAAAAGTGTCACTTATTACTTGGAATACTGCTTTATTCAACCTTTCCAGATTATTATAATTATTATTATAATAATAATAATAATTATTATTATTATTATTATAAAATTATTTACAGTAGGTGAAGCAAAACTTTTTAGCTAATATAACAGCTAATTAAAGCCTACTATTTATACTACATCTACAAATCCTAAATTAATTACAATGAATGGATAAAATGATATAGGAAATGTACAAAATTAAAAGGGTGACTCATTAGATAGAAAATATACAATTATTTGATGACTATTTCAAGAATCCAATCTGCGCAACGTAAGGTTTGCATAGTCTGCAGTTGCATTTTGTATCTTTCCAAGTTTTAATCTTTTTCTTAAATATTGCGAGGCTAGAAGATGTTTTAATGTCATTTGTAAGCTCTTGCCAGAGCTTGGATCCCATAAAGGTTGTACTTTCTATACCATAACAATTTGATTTTGGTTTTGATAGCGATATTCGGGATATGTTTCTAAGATTATAGCATGTATTTCTTTCAGTAAAGATTTCTTTCATGAAACTTGGGTTGAGATTATGTAAAGTTTTATATATTTCTGTAAGAAGCAATTGCAGATTTTTATCATGGATAGACGTCGAGTTGTCTTTTTCAAGAAGAGTTTGAAAGCTTGATTCATAGTCATCATAGGCAAGACGCAAAGACTTTTCATGAATTCTGTTTATTCTGTTGCTCATTTGTCGATCACAAAACATCCAAATTAAAGGGCAGTAGCTAAATTGTGATATAATGAAGACGTGCATGGTCTGTTTTACTTTTCTATCATCCATGTAGTTGGAGATTCGGGATAAAGCATGTAGCTTTTGGCAGGCCTTTTTGCATATCGATTGTATGTGTCCTTTGAACGACAAATTATTATCAATACTTATATCAAGAGGTTTTTTTTCTTTACTTGGTTTAATTATCGTTTCATCTATTTTCAGAGAAGTGTCATTGCTGCCTTTGTAAAGTGGCATTTGTACCTTACAAAGTTTATAAATTGCCACCAAAATTTATAAGGTGGCATTTGTCCTCATTCATTTTTATATAATTATTTTGAAACCATTCTCTAAAATAACCACGTCTTGTTCTAGTATTTTAATAGCCTGCTTAATGTCTTGGTGGATGACATAGAGCGTTGTGTCATCAGCATAATTGCATATTTGGCTATTTGATATAAACATGAACATGTCATTTATATATATATTGAACAAGAGAGGTCCCAAAACTGATCCTTGTGGCACACCTACACTTGTGGTTTTCCATCCACTGAAAGAGCCGTTTATTTTGACTCTTTGTTTCCTCTGGCTAAGGTACGATAATGTGAAATTCAAGGTGCTTCTACTAAAACCATAAGCATTGAGTTTAGCAATCATTAGGTCAAGATTCAGACAGTCAAATGCTTTTGACAGATCCATCAATATTGGATAAAGAATTTCTATTAATAAGATCCATCAATAATTTCTAATAATTCATGTAATCTAACACAGTCTCATTACTCAAACTTTTTCAACTTTCACAATATTTTCAGGTTTTTACTGCCTTCTAAGAATCAAATTTACATAGTTGTGAACATAGTTATGGAAATTTGTCAGACAATGAGTAATATTATTTCAGATAAAATTATTTGTATGAAATATATTGCACAATACATGGATCTAATCGTAATATTTCTGTATGCTAAAACCCCTTAAAAATAATCGATAACTAAACCAGAGAAAACAATTATGACAGAAATCCAGTGATGGGTTGTCAAATTATGTTCAAAGATCACGGTGGACAACAAAATGGTAAAAAACTTTCGAGTTGTAGTTATAACAGAACAAACAAGGGGGCCAAAATTAACAATAGTAAGAAAAATAAACTGCTGGCCAAGAACCCCAGTGATGCATAAGGCAAGCATGTACATTGAAAATCTAATAGAATTCCTGCAAAAAAGCACAAATTTCTGTAGTTCCCCCTTATACAAAGCTATAAAAAACATAAAAAGAGTTGCCCATTTGTTTATATTGTACATTAAATTGTGCGAGGAAAATATTGTCTTTTCCTGTATTTTCTGTTGTGTGATTGCAACAAATCCATCAAAAAGCAATGAAAGCAAAACAAGTGAAACTCCAAAGTTGTTTTGTTTTCTATCGTTAGATTTTGTGTTTGTTTTGCTTGCATTTTCAAGCATGAACATGCAAACTCCTGTTACAACCAGTAAAACGCTTGCACATTTCTTTAATGTGTATGCACGTCGAACTACGATGATACTCATGAGTAATATTACCAAGGGCTTTCCAGATTTACCAACGATCTGAGTCGGGTAATTCACATAATTCAGTGCTGCATTTGCTGTCGACATTGCCATAACATAAGACAAAGAACAAGCCACTATTAAAAAAGTGGTTTTTAAATTTATGCCCTGTCCTTCCTTTCCTGCTGCATTACTTCGATTTCTTAGTGTTTTGAAAAGAAAGAAAAACTTCGCGATCGTTGCATTGAAAGCTGTTGTTACCATAATAATTGACGTGTAAAATTGAAAGCCATTCTCCATGGAAACTTTTTCAACGACTAGGCCATTTGCAAGGTAGCTGCAAAATATCCCTATAAAGCAAACAGAGAGTAAAATATAACGTCCTTTATATTGTTCTCCGTTCATCTCTCTGCCCACATAAAATTTTCAAAGTTGAACGCAAATTTCTTTGAAAGTAAACCTGCTGAATTTATAGCTAGAAAAATTTTTTCGACCAGTAAAGACCACCATGTTAGGCCCTTTTAGCCTCGCTCTCATAAGCCGTGGGACTTCCCCACTGATGATGTCATTGGACTTCCCCATGCACCTTTTGAATTGTTCTGGCCGTGGGAATAACCCACTAGTAGCAATCGAGAAACATATTATAATAACAATTTCGCCTTAATTTATACCAGTTTAAGCCTCTCTTCGTCATTTGCATTGATTTTAAAACTCGCGAAAATCTTCCTCGCGTTCGATAGTTCCCGGTTGTATCGACCGCAGATGGTTTTGAAAACAGTTATCATTAAATATTGTTTCATGCTAATATTGTATCAGTAAATATTGTATCAAAAATGACTTTTATTTGTGCTACTCATATTGGTATCTTTTCCAGCATCTTTCCGAAATCCATTACCCAATGAAATTTTCTTTCCTTTTCTTCAAAGTATGATAAACATGCTCTTCTTCCATTTTAAATTTTTTGTGTATTCATAGAGAAAATCGCAGTGCTCTTTAAAATTCCCCAAATGTATATTCGTCCGAAACATCCAAAAATATGTTCTAAAATAATTTGCTGATAAAACAAATCGGCAAATGGGCAAAAGTTCAATGCGCTAAAGCGCCTTTAACGAGGACAAAACAATAGCAAAATTTAAAAAATTGCTAAATTTGGTGTGAGCTTGTATCGCCCTCATTGCCCCTATTCTTGGAGAAGTGTTCGGTTATGGGATTTCCGACGGGATTCCCCTCCAGTTTGATTTTGAAGAAAGTTGGAGAGAATAGGGGAGTTCCTTAGAAACGCATGCGCTCGAGGTTACTTCTCGTTGCAAGAAGAGACAGATGTAGAGCGGGCTTAAGAATTATCAAGAAACCGAAGATTAAATTATCACTATAAACAGGTAACAGCCTAGGTACCACCATAAAGATATAGAAAAATTTTCAAGTGATTTGATACTTATCATTAATTTCTATTCACTTGCATGTTTCACGAGGCTAGGGTCACGTATATATTAATGAAATTCCTAAGGCCTAAACTAAACAACTGGAATTTACCTGTTGTCTGATGATTTATTTTCTATTGTTCCCATAACACAAGATGATAAAAATTGACTTTGCAGTCCTGAAATTTTCGCTAACTGGCTGTCTTTTATTTTGGCTCGTTTTTGTTGTCTATTTAGCCTTACAGCTATTTATTTTGTGACCAAAATATTTGCCCAAGTGTTCGGGTAGGTGTGACCAGGTAAGGTTTATAATTATGGCAAAAAATTTTTTAGGGTAAGCTGCTTGTTAATAATTGTGTAAAGTTTCGGGAATGCTAAGATATGTTTCGGCCCTGAAATACCAATAATTATAAAAGTTAGGTTGATTTATTAACAAACTTTGAAACAGCAAGGCTTCGGGGTGCATTTTCTGTGGTTTTAGAGAGCCCACTGAGTGTAAACATACACATATACCTTCAAGAATCAACACACATATGCTAAAGTACCAATCACATTCCATAATTTAGAAGTTTAAGAATATCCCATTTAATTTTTATGCTTTTAGTATGTTCTTTGACTTTCTATTTTTACCCTTAAAGGTATTCAGCCATTTTTCCTCTTTGAGCCAGTGTGTAATCTATTTATGTCACATGCTGCAGAAATGATTTTGTCAGTTCAATTCTTTGTCTCTGTTGTTGAAGGAACTCTTTTAGTGTAACAAAAATTGGGCATTGTTGTGAATTTATTTGATGCTGTTCGTTCACTAATAAAACCATCCTTCAATAAACGTGTCATATTTTCATGCAGAGGACACAGAGCCAGAGAAGAGACTATGTGACTATGCGTTTCTTGATTCTAACTGAACTCTAAACTAGAATTACTTACAAATTAACATACTTCTTTAAAGAAATGAATATCTAAAATTAACACAAATGTTGTGAGAAAAACAAAAGATAGAAAGGGGGAGTAAAGGTGATGAGTAAATTGAATAGCATGCCAAAGATTAAGTAAACAATACAGATTAGCAAATATGTGTGATATGAGAATGACATAGAAGATGCCTGTGCTGCGATTTGAGAATGTGATGGAAAGAATGGGAAGGAAAATTAACGTAAACAGGTTCAAGTAGAGTCACTACAAACTTTTGGACCCTAGTGTTGTTTGATTAGGTCTAACATGGGCTAAGTTATTTGGATTTCCTAATGAATATGGTTTCGAGTCTGTGCACATCAGTCTTAAATGTATACCATCAAAATGCCTTTTGAAATATTTATAATTGTACTAATTGCTCAAAAAATGAAAGATAATGATTAAAAATTTTTTAGTGTTATATTAAATTTATCTTCATGTGACAAATTAGTATTTTAAGTATGCTCTACCCTTTAATATCCATCTGTAACTCTTACTGACAAAGAAATACAGTCATTTTAACTCATTAATAAAGATCATAGAATATAAATTGCACCAGGAATCTGTTAATCAATATTTTGTTTTACAGTTGAGGGACCATTAAACTTTTCAATTTTTTTCATTTAGGCACTTATCTTCGGGGTATGAAAAATCTTACAAGAGGAATATAGCTTAAAGGAAAAGAGGAATATACTTAACACAATGGAGAAGTATCTGAAGATAGAGAAAATTGGAGAAGGTAATTTTGAAGTATGCTCAAAAGCTTTTTGCAGCAAATTTTAGATTGTTCTGTTGTCCCTCTGTAAATTTTAAATAGATCACTTAATAGATTTACTCTTTTGAAAGCTTAGTTTTATTTTCCATTGGATATGTTCCCTGAGAGAAGGAAATATACACTCTTCCCACGAAAGTACGCAGACAGTTCAAAGATCAATTGCACTTTCAGACCAAAACAAATTTAGGCTCACAATAATGACTTTTGGATATAGTGATGAATTTTTCTTGAGAAACCCTAGCAAAATAAACCAGAACATTAAAATGCTGCGAAGCTTCTGCACTTTCTATTCTGTATTATTTTTTGTTAAAATGAGAAACCTTTGTGCTACAAGCCTTACGCAAGTTGACTGATGTCAAATAAAGCGGAGAACAGAAAATTCAGGTGTCTTGGACTCAGTTAAAATGGGCCAATAAAACATGGTAATTTTTTACAAACTGCTTTTTGAGACACAAATATTTTCGAATAAAAAGAAATACAACATGTTTACTCTCAGGTGGGAAAAATATTAGCATGGGGATGCCACCAATCGATTATAAAAAATGGATGACATTTGGTAACATTTTACCAGATCATAGACTTTCTTGCAAAGCAAACATATCATTCAGTCCAGGGCCATAAAGCAATTCTATTTCTTTATTGCTGCAAGTTATGCTGAAATCAGTCTGTACGAGGATACATTCACAATTCTTTATCATTTCCCTTGCAATATTTACTGACAGCTTTTGAAAGTTCAATTGTTTGTTAACATTTAATGCAATTTTGCGTAATAATGTAAACTAGTTTTGATGCAAATTTTGTTAGGGAAGAATGCTCAGACGTTGGTGTCTTATTGACCGTGATAAATTGTTTATGCTTATTGTTTTGCAATGTCCCAGACTGGAAACTTTGTTTCATGTGCAGGCAAGTTCACACACCTGACTATGCAACTGTATGCCCCGAAATCACTTTTAAGAAATTTGTATTTGTTCATCATTTGAAATGTATTCAAATAGGGACTTTTTGCGCGACCAATATGCAAAAGGGTGCAGATGGAAAAGTTTAATGCGCCGGCAATAAGTCGCAAGTGCTCGACAAATTTTCCAGTCTGGCATATGTCAAAAGTTGCAGTCTTTGTGCATCCAATGATATAGCAACTTAAGGACAGCTTTTTCCCATTCATTGTGATAAAACATTATCTCTAGACACTGCTCAGAAGTCAATTCTTGTGTTTCGGTCGCTACCATCTTGAGGAAAAACCCTCACAGAGTTTGCTTACCTATCGATGAGATTATTTTTTTTCAACGAATAAATAGATTAAAGGTCAAGAAAGCTTTAAGAAAAAATTCAAGGAAATTGACAAAAAAGTTTTTATGAAAACTGCCTTTGAAATCTGTTAATAAATTTCTCTAACAAACAGATTGCAACAAAATTCGAAACTGTCTGGATACTTTTGTGAGGGAAGTGTATATCCTATAGACTTAGAGATTCATCTGACATTGACTGGTGGTATAGCCCAGCCTACTACACAGAAATCTTAAATACGTGGCCAAAAATCTACAGACTACAGACTATATATATTCTCACTGATTTAGAAACAAAACAAAAGCTTAAAAACTTTGTCAGCCATTGTCAACAAAGTTTAAAAGACATAAAGGCTCAAATCAAAAACACAAAAGAGAACACACAACGACAAAAGTTAGACAATCTTACCTAGTTCCTGCTCATCAAAAAATATCATATCGAAAATCATGTTTTAGTGATATTGTGTATTTTGAATGAGAACTCTTAAACATTTCAACATGCTTAAATACATATAGCACCCCCATTACTCTCCTTGATTTGTAAAGGACTGCTATTCACTGCTATACACATGGAAATTTGCCATCCTACTATTTTTACTCAAAGTGTCTGTAGTCTAAGGAAGCAACAATAGTTTTCCATAGCTAGTGATGCATAGTGTTGTTTGATTTCAGGTACTTATGGGACTGTATATAAGGCAAAAGACAGAAATACCCATGAAGTTGTTGCATTAAAAAGAGTAAGACTGGATGAAGATGATGAGGTTGGTTTTCATTTCTAGTTTCTAACTCACTTCAAGTATCTTATTTTGTCAGAATATAGCACTATACTTTTAAAATGTGTTTTTAGCATACCATTTAAAGCATTTTTATTTGATATTGCTGAGGCAAATACTGGAGCTTTTCACCCAACACTCTTGGTAGTGTATATCATCAGAACATTAAACAAAAGTTCAAAGCTAGGCTATATTTCTACCCATTTCTACTTTTACCTGTTTCCACTTTTGCATACTATTTTTAGATATTAAATATTATTTTCTCCATTATTTTCTTGGCATGATGTAACAGCTATAGATGGGTAAAATGCCACGAAGGCTATGTTTTGATGTTTTTCACTTCAACATCTTAAAACATAGACTTACTATGCAGCCACACGTTTGTAATGATAAAATGCCTTTGCTGAACAAGATTGCTCATGTTTTAATGAAAATTTCAGGGCATTCCTAGTTCTGCACTCAGGGAAATTTGCCTCCTCAAAGAGCTGAATCACAAGAATATTGTTAGGTGAGGTACCTTTTTGTACATTTATCATTATTCTTACAAATATATTAGTGAAGACCGAGTTACAGAGATCTTTGTCACCTCATCAACAGACAAGTCATTAGGCCATTGGCATAATTGTAAAGTTATAAAAGGACTCATTGAAGAATCCAAATTTCAGCATCATTTTGATCCTAAAGCAAAAGTTTGCTTTATATACCATCTATAACTTGTTACTGTAATTATTTTTGATTCCTTGATTATCATTCTTGGTTTAGATGTAGCTGAATATTTTTTATATCTTATTCAGGGTCCTTGATGTATTACATAGCTGCAAAAAGCTTACCATCGTATTTGAGTATTGTGACCAAGTGAGTTCGAGTTGCTTTCATCTTTTATGATATTAAGGTTTTTTCTCTAGTTTAGCAATATTACCTAACTAATGGCCCTTGTACTTTTGTCAAGGTAATAGAGATCTTAAGGTGTTGATAGCTATTATTTTATGTGTATCACCTTTTTTTGATTAGATTACATTTTTGAAGATTGTAACTTCTAATTTGACTTAATCTAAAAATGCTAGATTTAGTCACATTTATTGAATCGGTCCCAACATTCACTGCTTCAAAAACCCCTTTTTAACTATATATTATGTTATCTTTATTACTCCAATGTCAAATGAACAAAGAGGGCTGTTGTTAAAAATTTGTGATCTCCATGTGCATAACATAATTATATTAATATGAACTGCTCTGCTTATTTTTTAAAAGACATTGCGACTTTGCCTGGTGCACATAAAATATGCTCTGGTTTCTATCTTTGTTCCTATTAATCTCCTTTGAGCTTTCCACTTCTCCATTGGGATATTCATTGTTTGTCTTAATTATGAGCCAACAGTTCTTATTTTCCTTTGTGCTTGCTATTTTTGTATATGTTGTTGACATATCTTGTTTGTGTTAAAGTCTATATGTAGTCATAGAAATTACTGAGGGAAATGAAAAGCTGATTATGTGATTTTTTTTTGTTTTTTCTAGGATTTGAAAAAATATTTTGACACCTGTCAAGGGGAAATGGATCTAAACACAGTCAAGGTGTTACTTTTCATTGGTCGTTTAGATGCTCTTGTGCACTTGCCATTTAGCATCTTATTTCTAAGTGAATTCATTAATGCTGAGAGATTTGTGTATCTTCTTGGCAGGTTGAGAAGATTTTGTCAATGCACCTGTAACCTCTTTATAGAGGTTTAAATTGATCTACATTTGAATAAAGAATAGGATGCAATAAGTGACCTGTGAGCCATTTATTAATTGGGCAAAGTGTAATTTGGACAGGTCTTGGTATTATGTGAACTCACGAGTTCATACGGTGGCAGTGCCAGCCATTATGCTTTCAGGGGGAGCAGTGATTGAAGAAAATGCCCTTTTACCAGCAGGGACTGCTAATTTTACCAATGGCTAATTGCCATGACGAACATTTGGGTAGACCAAGGTAGTTTCAAAGTCATAGAATAACGTCGCAAAAAATACTCTGCCAATGTATTGCCCCTCCCTCAATATTTTCTCATCGAATTTAGATTTAGTACAATATCGTTCCTGTTGAGATACGGGGACGGCTCCCCCTAGTCCCAACCACCCCCTGTGACGCCTCCATGGAGTGCATAAAGCTTTCCGTTGCAACTGAGATTCTTTCTATCATTTTATATTTACTGCAGTCCTGATAATTCTCCTTTAACTTTTTTTGTAGTCATTCATGTATCAGCTTTTGCGAGGATTAGCATTTTGTCATACAAATAACATTCTACACCGAGATCTGAAGCCACAAAATTTGCTTATTAACAAGGTATTACGTCATAATTACGTCAATATTAGTTATCTCAACAGATTCCATGCTACCAATTGATGTTTGAATTATGTCATAATTATGTTTACTCAAAGCCAGGTACTAGATGCTTATTTCTTTAATGAATTTGAACAGCTGACATCAAATTCGAAGCCACCAAATTCAAACATTTGTGTCTAATGCTGATTCACCAAGCATCAAATCTCTATTGCCAACACAAGGCTCCTTACCCCCAAGATAAAACACACATTCGGAAAAGGTCGCACAAATCATATGCTCCTATCTTTGGCTCATACATTTCAATAAACCAGACTTATAAACGACAAATACAAGAACAAATGGTTTCGTAAGTCACTTGTGCAGATATGCGTGTTCAAGCGAATTTAGAAAATATTTGACATGAAAGTTGGGTTATTTCTTTTGAGGCGGATTGCACTGCTCCCGTGATTCCACTCACCCACTTATTGATTGGCTAATAAATTGATTGACGGATGACTCAAGCCACTTAAAAGTCTGTTCTGTCTTAAGGCTCAAAGTGTTTTTGTATAGACTAGCATCTAGCGTCTTATTCAGAGAAAATAAACGATAAAATGTCAGAAAAACCGTTTGCTTCAGACAATATGAAAGGGATGTGAGCATGTTTTTAAGCAGAATGGAAATTGGAGAAATTTTGATTTTTTTACCGGCATGATTTCAAAAGTGAACATGTAGATTGGCGCAAAAATTATAATGTAAAAAGTAGGATTATATTCCAGTTGATAAATCTCCAATTATTTAAGATGGAAACGTCAAACTTTTCTCCAATCTAGCGAAATTTTTTCCCCATATTTAATCCTACCTTTAATTTCCCCATATTTAATATCGCTCTTATCCTGGGTTCTCTCCACATTTTGAGCTAATCGAGTGCTTTGTTAATATATGCATTGGAGAAAACCAATGTTCTGCCTCTTTTTTATAACTTGACTTTTTGGAGGAATGCTTGAAATAAGTTTACTTTTTTGTCTAAGGTACCAATATAGTGTAAGCAGTCTCTAGAACTTAGACTTCGTATTTGAGAGCTAGGTTATTGATGTATCCAAACAGGAAAGATAAAGTGGACGAATAGAAATATTTTCTCGATGGCATAAAGCTGTTTCTGAATAATAACTTTATCTCGATACATAACAACGTTTCTCTCTTAACTTTTCTTGCGGTGTTTTTGCAATTTTATCTTTATATTTACTATTTTTCAGAAAAGGCTTTTAATATAAACAAGGACCTACTGTCATAAATGATCATGTTTATCCCTTTCCTAGCTGGATCTATCTAGACAAGGATACCATCGAAATAGCTATTTATATTTGAAAAGCTATTTAACCATCCAGAAATAGGTACACTTATATTTTACTCCCAAGATTAAAGTTTACTTCACCCTATTCCCTCTCAATTTTTATACCTCTCAAACACATTTTTATTTGTATTAGAAAGATGAGCTGAAGTTGGCAGATTTTGGCCTAGCCAGGGCTTTCGGCATTCCGGTGCGCTGCTTCTCCGCAGAGGTATTTACTTTGATATTTCATCAATAATAAGCTGTTTTCTTTGGAATATTTCTGCAATATAACCGCAAGCTTTGATATTTTAAATTCTTACTTTATTTGAATTTTGAAGATTTTATTTAATTTTATTGCGTTATTAGGAAATTTATTTCACAAACATCCTTCCCCTGACATTCGTCCTCTTTCGAACTCAAAATATTTTCAAATGAATCGCTAGATCTTTAACCAATTATCATCAGCCAATTTTAGATAGGCTATATTATGATATCAAAGTCTCTGCATTTTTCATTGGCAGTTTTCATTTAGTATTCCTTGACTTTTGTCTCACATTTGCTTGTTAAATTGAACAATTTTGTCTGTATGTCATTGGTATCATGTTAAAAATGTTAATTACAAGTACATCTCATTTCCATTATAATGGCGTGGTAAGAAAACAAATCTCTGCCAAAAGTATATTTATTAATTAAACACGTAGATTATTCTACGATACTCGTTGCTTTAGTGACTTGCAACATAAGATAAGATGAAGGGGACAGCTTAGTCTGTCGAACTACGTGATGCAAGTAACTAGAGACTACGTAAAGTTACCCTGGGTGCCAGAGCCTCAGAGAGTCAAAGGATGAAGAACGGGGGAAGGAATTGCGAAGGAGAATGGTATAGTAAAAGGGTGCCAGAGCCCCTTTCCACTTCCATTCTCCTTCGCATTTCCTTTCCCCCGTTCTTCATCCTTTGACTCTCTGAGGCTCTGGCACCCAGGGTAACGTAAAGTTTGTCCCCAGTTCAAACTGGCATTGCTGGTTGCATTTTAGGTCGTTACGTTGTGGTATCGACCTCCTGATGTTCTGATGGGCGCCAAAATGTATACAACATCTATTGATATTTGGTCTGCTGGCTGCATTTTCGCGGGTATCTATATTATCCCTTGCGTTTCAATGTATTTACATTTTTTGCAAATAGGTTACTTTTTATTCACCGTTGTTTATTCACATTTCGTGTAAATATGTTACGTTATATTCAACGCTTTTCATTCACCATCAGAATGCTAAAACATACCATTGGCGCATTCATAATACCTGCCCAAGACCTGCATCAGGCAGGGAGTGTGTTATGTGTACGTTCCAGGCCGCTTATTTGTTGTAACTTTTGGCTAAAAAAGGCATTGAACGATTGCTAGTACGTCTGTGTAGAAAAAATTGTGTCATCAAGCCATGTGCCATAAGTTACCATCAAGACCAATTGATGCTTGACTTATTAATCTCACAAGTTATTTACAGGATGCATTCGCAGCATGGTATCTTGTAGTATCGTAAAGAATTGCCCCCCCCCCCGCGAAAAAGCCCCCGCCCCTCGAAAAAGCCCCCAACCCTCGAATAAGCCCCCAACCCTTGAATAAGCCCCAACCCTAGAACTACAAATTGTCAATAAGCCCCCTCCTCGAATAAGCCCCCACTGCTACTGTAATTCCTTGAATTGGCCCATTAAATGTGATGATTTTTGCCATCTGAGTTTGTGTTTGGCTTTTTATTGAATTATCTCAAAAATTCATACTTTTGGTAAAAATTAATTAAATGCTCATAAAGATATTCCCGCTAAAATAAACGAGGTCTTTTAATAATTTCTTCTTAATGTCTACAATAACTTTATAAGTCCCCCTCGTATAAGCCCTCCCTTCGAATAAGCTCCCATTTTAAAATATCAAAAATGAATAAGCCCCCAGGGGGCTAGTTCGAGGATTTACATATGTCCAATGTTCGTGGCAGTGTCCACTATTTGTATGAGTAACTTGTGTTTAGTTTGAAACAGTCATGTATTCTTTTCTAGAAATGGCAAATGGCGGTAGACCAATCTTTCCAGGAAGCGATGTTGATGACCAGTTGAAAAGAATCTTCCGGTCAGTTCAGTGTCACAGCTATTATAGGCGCTTTTATTGTGCTGTTCAGTTAAATTTTTGAGACATTTGCTACCAAAGACACATTTGCTACCAAAGACACATTTGCTACCACACTAACCAAAACTAAGATTTGCTAGCAGTTGTTTTAACAACTGATTTTTTTATACAAATAAGCCATTTTAAATTCTGTACCTTACCTAAAAATTATTAGATAGAAAAGTTACAATACGAGCTGTTCCTTGTGATTAAAATCATAATACATGTTTGGTTAACTGAAATGAATTTTTGCAGGTTGATAAATTTTTCAAATCAGTTTGCCTAGTTAATTTCAGTTTCTTTGTTAGGGACCTACTCTACTTCGTTAAAGAATAAATGCTTAATGAAACCAGCCACAAATTGTTTCAAGCCTCAGGCTACTGAGCTTCAGAGACACAACAAACTCATTATCTGATGCAAAACAGTTAACACTGACATATGGTGTTTTAATTTCTCGATTAGCGTCATTCATTTGGTTTTGCTACAGCTGGCGAGGAAGAACGGAGCTGTCTTCATGTTTGTGTTATCTTAGAAAATTTCCCAATTAGCAATCCATCCTTATATTAAAAAAGTTATCTATTATTTTGCATTTTTCCCTTCAAAGAAAATTATTTATTATTTTTAGGACATTCCCATTTAACTATTGATTTTCCGTTTCTTCAAGTCGTTCTCTTGATACCTTTTGGGGCATACCCGCTTAGCATATCCCCTTCCCTGATGTGTCGGTTTCTGCGTACCTGAAAACTTTTGCCTTTATTTAACCATTATTGCAATTCCCTCCGTTTTGAATTAATTTTTTATAAATTACAGGCTGCGTGGTTCGCCGTCTGAAGAGAACTGGCCAGGTGTTTCAAAGCTACCAGATTACAAGGTAGTTAATTGCTTGCTTGAATCATTTAACTGCTTGAATCCTCGGATAACTCTATTCTTGCCAATCTTACCGAAAGCGAAACCTTATGTATCCCAGGTTGTTCTTTTTTCATGACGTTCTTTTCAACTTGCATTAGAATTGGGCTGTAATTGTGCAAACACGTAATTGTACAGAGTGCTTGGTTTCAAGGATCATTTGCATTGGGATTGGTCTGCTGTTAATAGCTTTTAATTCAGCTAGTTTTATGTCCGTTGGTTCTTTTAAAGAATCATAACTTCATTGACTTTTCACAAATTTTTGGCTTATTTATGAACGCATAATTTGTCTGATAAAATAAAGGACAACAATCTCTGGTTATCGATATGGCAGGGATAACAGAGCGATTTTTTCGCCTGCGGGAAAAGTATTCTGTCTGCTTCTCAGTTTCAAAATGAAAGATTTTATGAATTATTGTACCGCATGTTTATTGTTTATTGTACCGCAAACAAACTTTATCTTCTTATATGGATGTTCGACAAAATTACTTTTAAATTTATTTTATAGTATATATAACGAATTTTATGTCGCGTTGCAATACATCAGAATATTTTTATGGGTTGAGAAAGTATTTCGCTTATTAGAATATGTTTATGTGCTATGTAATATGGGTTAAACAAAGATGTACGACACCAAGGCATGTTTGGTTCATGAAATGATTCCCTGTAAAAGGCCAATAATTCTATTTTCACACAAACCGTTTCACTAAAGATAGACAGTTGATAAAAACTACCGTACATAAAAATCTGATAGGCCTTTTCAGAAAGCCTATCACAGCTTCACAGATGTTGCTCCATCATACAAAATCGAAAGAAGTTCCATTTTCAGTCTTTTGACTGTCTTCTCGTGTAGGAAAAACTAAATTCTTGAAATTTCCCAGTAAAAGATTTGTTATGTTTATTACAGAATTATGGACTTTTGCTTGTATCTTTCCAGGAATTCAACATTCATCAGTCAATATCGCTGCAATCTGTTGTTCCTACATTGTCGGCTGCTGGTAGAGACCTCTTGCAGGTTTGTTGTGCCAGTAATTTTAGCCTTGGTTTTTGTATCACATTTTAGCTGTATTGAGTCATTTTTTCCTTAGGTTGCGCTGCTTGACCTAAATCACCTAAAATAAACCTTTTTTAGTGGCGATTGGTGGTTTTTAAACCCGGGGGGGTGTACTTGGATACCAAAACGACGGGGGGTGTGCACTCCTAAGATTGTTTTGGTGAACCGGCTTTAGAAAAAGAAGCTAAAAATGACACCCAGCTTTAGAGTTTTTTGAAAAAAGAACGAAGGAAACCAAAAGCTTTGGTGCCAGTTGCAATGGTTGCCAAAACACCACAAAAACAATGAGCGGGCAGCCTCTTTGCTGTTATTTTTTAATAGAAAAAAACGAAAATCAGGCAACCGGCTTTAGATTATATCCTTTGAACAGATACCCGGCCTAAGAATAAATTGCTGAAAATGATACCCGGAAAGACGTGCACATCCTGTCAGCAAAATATACTAAGTACCCCCCCCCTCCCCGGGTTTTTAAAGCATGGCGATTCGGAGTTGTGTTTTTCTAGACATGATATTATGAGTAGTAACCCGCTGAATAGATATTTTGAAAAACCTCTCTTGAGGGTTGAAAAGCATCCATGTTATTGCAGCTAAGCTGTAACATGGACTCGAATGTACACAAGATTGAAAAATAACATGTTCGCGTTGTCATTATAAAGTCTTTCTTGTGTTCATGTATGCTGTTTGTAGACATCAAAGACCCTGAATAGAATGACTTGTACTTTGTACGCCGGTTTCTTTATCTATCATTGTTTCTGATAATGTCTAAGGTCTGCTTCAAGTTTCATTTTTGGCCTTTTGGTTGCTTTGTTGGCAGGTGTTTTAATAGTCAGTTAATGTGTTGCTAAGTGGAGCTTCAATATACCGCGGTGACAGTGCTCTCAAAGGTTTAGATTATCCTTGATATCATACAATGTATCTGATAGCTTAAGTGGCACCATTTACTCGATTCTAGAACGGCAGGGAAAGGTGGAAGCACTTGTTTTCATACCTGAAAGCTTTTATTGCTTTAGCTCATTTGTTTTGACCTCCCTGAAAGATTTTCTCTTCAGACGTGCTAACAAGATCAGTAGTTCGAACATCTCTACCCTCTAACTCACCTAGCTTCTCAAATCCTGTATGCTGTGTTTGCTTCAAATGCCCCCTGTTCAAGCATATTGCCGTTCCATATGTGGAGGCTGGAAAACCGATAGCCCGGTAAACAAGCATACTGCCCAAAATAGGACTCAGTTTACACAACCTCAGTTATTACATGGCCGATATTGGCTCTGTTATTAAGCTTAAATTTTCCATTGGTTTTTCTTCGCAGAATCACTTAGTTCTGAATCCTGCAAATCGAATTTCCGCTGACGCCGCAATGCAGCATATTTATTTTGCTGACATCAACCAAATACTCAGAAATTGATGAAAGAGAAATATTATACTTTAGCCCTTAAAGGAACGAAATAAAGAAGATTTAATTGTAAATAGGTAGATGGAAAACAGGTCTTTGTTTTATTTTCTTAAATGATATTTATTATATTAAATGTAGGTAGATGTATTAAGTTTACTGGATTTCAAATAATGTTTTCTGAAATGAAAAAATTGAAATAAACTATTATATGCAATCATCATCATTTTCGAAAACTATCAGTTGGCAAAGACAATCTATCTTAAAAATAAAAACTAACCATAATGAATTTCCTTTGAGAATTTTTTGTACCATTGTTAATTCTAAAATCCAATTCCTCTTTCCTGTTGGTCCTGGTGTTTTCCCGCTCTCCTTTTTAATCTTTGCCTCGTTCATTGCTACTCTTTTTTCCTAACCCTTATTTTTCCGTTCAATTCCTTCGCTATTTCCTTAATCTTTCCTTCTTTTCCCGTCCTCCCACTAGAATTTACAAACTCTAACACGTCATTCGGGTTATGTCTTCAAACAAACTACATTAATAAAAAAAATGCATGTAAGGAACTTAAGTGGGCTTTTCTGAATTATAATGTTCTGCTAGAAAGGATCGGAGATATACTGAAGTTAAAAAGTTATTTTCATTCTTTGTAGCTATCCAGACCCATAAATCCTTATCTTGGGGGACCTTCTTTTCAGTTCGATGAACTGACGAAAGTTAAGTTTAAAAAGTTAACTAGCAAATCAAGAAAACTGCTAGCAAATTTATAGAAAAATTTTTAAAAAAATTTGATTGTATTGAGAGCCCCCTGATAAATTCATTCAAAAATGCTATGCATTGCAAAGATTATCTTCATATTCGTCTTAACAATCTTCATATCGTTTGCTTGCTTCTTGTTCAGTATCCATTATTGTAACGAACTGTGAAGCTTTAGAGACATAGCTCTTAAGCCAAACAGCTTATAAATCTACTTTCTTTGCTGAACCGAAAATCACGTCATCTAGCAGCTTAAAAGTATTTGAGTAGGGAACTGTTTCATATTTTGCGAAATGTGCGATTTGTAATGTCATGAAAATTAGTAGGTAAACGTCTGATCAAATTTGTTTTTCGCATTAAATCATTTTACTTATCTTTTGAGCAAGTATGTACTGTTGAATTTCCGATGCAGATGTTAAATCAAGCCCTAGTTTTTCTTCCTTTATCCTAATGGCCTTCGTTTTTAGCACAGAAGCGAGAATTTATATGTTGATTTCGCCATCCACTTTGTTTTCGCAATAAAACTGTTGTTTTTCTTTTCCAACACAACGATCAACATCATTATTGCAATCACACTCAGCTGCCCAAGCAAGTTCTTCCCTATTCTAAATGTGCATTTTAATAGTATGCATGTCAATCGTTTGATAATCAAACCATGTCGTTAGAGACATTATATTTGCCTGTGTTTTCCTGTTCTATGCCACTCATAGAGATTCATTTTCACGTTGAACTCTTTAATTGCATCCTCGTCCAGATCATTGTATAGCAAGGCAACAATGTTTTTTCAACACTTCAACATTTCAAGGTCTTTCTGAATAAACAGCAACAGACCTTAGATTTTCAAATACTTCACATAAGGTCTTGCTGTTTGGCCGCTATTTCGTAATGTATTGGCCAAAACTGACACTGAATTATATGTTTTGCTCAGTTTGGGGTGGGCATGACCTTCCCTTGTCAAGTCAGTTTAAAATTTGAACACGCATCGTATTTATTCACTTGGTTGCCAAGCTTTGTGCGTTTTAGTCTAATAGCTAATAGAAATTTCTATTTTAGACAAGTTACTTCACTTTTGAGTTTTTTGAAAGGCACGTCCCCCCCGTCCCCACCCCCCAAGAACAATTGTGGCTATGGCCTTGGTGGAGCGTTATCTTCGACAAGATTGCATGGAAACGATAGAATATTACAAGCTTTCTTCAGAATCTCCCTATTTGTATTCGAACTGCCCATTCGACCAATTTCTTATAAAGAATTTCCTGCTAGTGAGTAGTATCCCCTACCATCATCCTTCTACGGCCACCCACTGTTCGGCTCACACTTGCTAAGGCTGTTGCAGAAACGCCGGTCAGAATTTTCGGCATTATCAGAATTTTCGGCATTATCTTTCGGAATTCTCTATAGTTATGTTTCAAAAATTAGAATTCGTCTCCAATTTAATGATTTTGCTCGAATCTATGTATTCCACAAAATTGATTGCCGAATTTGCCCCTGAAAAATTATCCCTAAAACCCGTCACCTCATTGGCTAAGACACAACTTTAGTGAAGATTAGGGGATGCAAGAACGTGTTTCGTCTGCTTTTTTAATTCCGCTAACCCTCTTGTGTTTTTTGTTGATTTTCGGCTTCCCTTTTTCAGTCAAAGCCCGCTTAGTCAGCCAGATAAAGTCTGACTGCCAACGCGAGTATAGAAGTTTCGTGATAAATGCTGTTACTAATTTTTCGCATAAAGTTCTTGAATCATCAATTTTGTATAAATAAGTATGTGATATTTGTGTAAACAGTAAAAAATTTAACGTGCCCCTGCAAGATCAAAGAAGAAAGTCATGACTCTTATTACCTGCACTATGAGGTAAACAAAAGAAAAACATTACCATTCTGGCAACATAACATAACCAACATAGAACGAATGATACAGCGAATGATGTCTTAACAGTAAGCTTTATAACAGCCGTCTTCACTCAATAGGGAGTCAAGAGTAATGTAGAGTCAAGAGTCTAAACTATTTACAAGGATATGCCTTTATTCAACCATCTTTTTTAAGAATCTAGACTCTACATTATGTTGAAGTTCCTCATAGACAACACATTCTTACTGCTCATCTTACGAGGGTACATAAGCTAGACAACACAGAATGCTTCTTTGTTTCATTTATCTGTCTTCATTTCGTGAGGTCAGGATTTGTAAATAGCGTTCAATTATTTGACCAACACAAGTCATTGTAAATGTAAGCAGATTTCAGAATATATAGTTGGTTAACCTGACAAATCTGTGCAAAATGTTGGAATATTGCACCAATTTTAATAGATATTGCCAATATAAGGACAACTTTCTCTTCTTCTTTTCTTATGCGGTTATTGCATATGAAAATTTGGCTGATAAATGGACAGAAGTACATTTGTAAGGCCGAAATTACAACATCTTGAGCTACAAAATACTTTTCTCTTTTGTTCGTCAAATTTTTGCATAATTGTTTCCTTAAACATGGGTTGAATGTTGATCAGTCAATCTCCCCCCCCCTCCCCATTCAACTACTATAGATTTACATGCCATATTTTTACCTGCTAAGGCTATATAATTGTAATAGCGTACTTTTTACTGTTATTGAGATGCCCCTTGTAATAATGAACTTACATATAGATTGTGTGCTTATAACCTTTTACTTAGTTTTGGGATTGAGTTGAATTGTAAGTTAGATGCTTAACGTGCATTACGTTGATTTATTTTTCAAGATAAGAACAGTTCTCTTTTGAAAGCAGATGCGCAGCAATTAGAAAAAGCTGAATTATTCCTTTCATTTGCTTTTTGCAAAAGTTATTTACCAACAGACCCGTTCACATGCAGTATTGGAAATACCCTTAGTAAAACACGATCTTTTGGTTGACCTGAAGACGTTATCAAGTAAATTTGCTACCTTGTATTACCCAGTTAATAGCAGGAAAAGATTTATAAATTCAGCGTGCTTAACGCTTAAGTATTGCTTCCAACGACGACTTCAAAGCTTTTCCTTGGAGATGCATTAATTTGTATCATACTATTGATACTAGTAACAAACTATTTTTAAGAGACAGTTGATCGGGAGTACAATTTTTTAGCGTTAAATTTAGATTAAGAGACCAGTAATCATTTTATGATAGACATAAAAACCAGCTAAAAACCCCTTTTCGCGAAACTATGTTTTCAGTGGTAAACCCAGTGTCATCAGGACAACATTCATCCATATATAATGCCCCTTGAGTTCCTTCCCATCCACCGTGTGAAATAAAAGACATCTTGGATATTAATAGGCATCCCCTTCTTTTTCATATTAAATTTAAGCAACGTTATTTTAATAAGACGTTTCGTTCTTTGCGTCTGATGATTTGAGGCCACTGCGTTACGTAATTTAGTTACATGTACCGATCCTGCTCTTGTCGTAGCTTACAAAATTTTATAACATTTCTATATTTTGCAGTAAAGAAAGAAGGTACGCAAGAGAAACGCTCAATTGCAGTTCCAGCAATCTCAAACGTCGAATTTACAGTGTATCAATTACATTGGCGCTATCTTCGAGTGTTCGATGTTGTTACTTTCGATACAAATTTTCATTCATAAATATTGCCTACGTTTTCACATGCATGATGTATCTAGAAATGTCAGAGTGAAAGCGTTTTAAAACACATTATGGCAGATTGAATAGCCCTTTTTCTCTGTATTTTTGGACACAATGACAACATGCAAAATCTCAAGACAAGTGTTAATAGGAAGTTGCGTAGTTGGAAGTAGCGAACGTTTTGGGGGAAAGGTATCAAATTCAACCGAACAAAAACAGACCCATGCGTTCTTTTGTGGCATACCATGGGCCTATCCGTTGAATTATGGCCTATTTCTTTCGGTTTTGTATAATTGTTAATATTACTATAACTAATAATTGAAAATTCAGCATTAATGCTCTAAAAAGAATGCATTCATTCAACAAGATTGAAACCCTGCTTCTTCGCTTTGATCTTCACGTCCTATTTGCTAACTAGCTAAGGACGATGTGCCTATGACATTCTATATACAAATCGTACTGTAGAGACAGAACAGATCTACTAGCAACACCATCAGTCTGTGAAGCTGTTGTGTAACGAATGTATGCTGAAAATGTTTTGTCAAAACTCTGCTTCAACAGAAGGCCTGTTCATTTTAACGGAAAAAAGCTGTCTTTTGAATGCGCTGTTTGCAGCACCTTATTGTTTGCTGCCATCTTCTACAACGACAGGTCTCCATTGTTCTTTTCTGCATTTTCAGTTTATGTATAATGCATTTGTATAATCTGAAGCATAAACATATCTTTAACAGCTTAGTTTAAAGCGCCAGGACCTGAAAATGCCAAAGACCAAACGACTCAAAATCTTTATCTGCAATGCCAGGTTTCTAAGGATGCTCCAGTTTCCAGAGCCTCCACTTGATATCTGACCTTTTGAAATTTCCTTTATTTCAGTACCTAATAATGAAAAAACTTCTTTTCGTTTTACAAATAAATTTTTATCTTGATATTTAATTTTGTGCATTATTTTATTGTATCCCAATTTTAAGGCGTTTTCCGTAAGTTTTTCACATCTATTGTTGAAGAATGATGCCAATCTGAGGCAGCGGCGTTCTGTAAAACGTTATCAATCAAGCAAGGGTGATGCATTCTTTAACAGCATTGTAGGAGAACTCGCTCAGTCGTTTTCTATAACTATGAAGCATTGACCTCGAACTTAACGACAGGCCATCTGCAGTTTCTATAGACTTTTAGCGAACATGTCTAAATCATCTTTCGTCTGTGTTTGTGTTTGACGGATAATCGTGCGAATCGCGGGTATCGTCCGGCTGGGGCTTAGTACTATGCTATGATATCCCGATGAAACGCCTTGCTTTAGACTCTTCAACTTGCTAACTGCAGAATTATCGTTCGTTGCTTCCACGCGAATTTCATCTATAACGTTGCCATTTTTTGTGTTTGATTTACCCGGATCGTCATTGCTAGTTAATTCCGCTTGGTCCATTTTGGCGTACTTTCCCTTGCCAACTTCGTTTCCCATGTTTTTGAACACAGCGATTTGGTTTAAAATCGATTCTAACAGCTGTTTACAGTGAATTCTTCTCAAACTAGACTTAGGCCATTTGAATTCGTTTCGTCAGTGTTAGATCCAGCTCTGAATAGCACCAGGTGACTCTCAATGTGCGGCCTTTCCTGATACTCTTTATTATAGTCTTCATTAATTATTAATTTTTTTATCGAGCATGCCACCGGCAAAATTTGTCCATCAATTTTGTTTCTGTGTGCGCAACGAGTAGAAATGATGCCTTCAGTCGAAGTTTCCAGGGGGTGCTAATATTTCAAAGTGATTTCACCTGCTCATTAACGTGAGTAAATACGCGCACGAAAACCAAAGCGTTGCTCTGAACCTTATAAGAAGCAATTCATTGAGAGCATGTGAAATTTCTTCGGCTCTGGCTGAAGTTTTGCGAAAGCTGTTCCTGCAGATATGTTTTGTTCTCCATTGCTTTAATCCTAAATCCGTAAATCTTTTTTGTTGTGATTATTACATGTCGCGTCTTAGAATTGGCCTTTGTAGAAGTCTGTAATCTCCGGCTACACCTTAGTTATGCGATCTTTCTCGTATCGAAGAATGTAATTTGCCTTTCTTTGCCGCGATATCGTTGAACAGAAACTGAAATATTTAGAGTTCTCGTAACTTTTTTGCTGGGATACAAATTGCTTCAAAGAAAAGATCAATTCAACCAGCTCTGATGCCTATAAATAGGTTTACACACAGTGACAGTGTATTGCGGAGGACAATCGATGTCCCGTATTCTGCCCTTATTTAAGCAGCTTTGCTTGCCATGGCTTTGTCGAGAAATTTCGTTGTGATATGACTTTTACAAAACTGATTGACAAAGGCAGGTTTTCTCGAGGTGCAGGTAAGAAGGGACACTTAGCCTCGAAAAGAGACACTTTTCCACAAACTCTCAAAAAGGCACTTCTAAGAAAAAGGGGTTTTTCGAAACAGCTTTGGAGGAGCATGTGTCTCTGGTTCCAACGTCCCGTCTCTGGAGAAGGCGGGAACCCGTTAAAAATTGCGGTCACAAAGATGTATTGTGAGCGCTCCACTTTTTCGAGCAACATGGCAGCATGAGTGACGCAAATGGCTTGCAACCAAAAGGAAGTTTGAGAAACTTCTGGTGGCCATTATCTCTATCCAAGCATTTAATGCTTGTTTTTTATTGTTTTGAAAAACGACAGTCCCCTATGAAAGGTCCTTCAAAAGCAAGAACCTGCTATTGCTTTCAAGTTAAATCGTTTTCAGGAGTTTTATAAACAAATAGAATATCTTTTATTCATCTGTTGGGTACTAAAGTAGATCCCTTAGAGCTATTGTCACAGTGAGCGGTGGGACCAACCCTCAGCAAGAACATCAAAGGATTGAAGATAATCTCTACCGCTACTTCGCCTCCTCTCCGCATCGAGGTCACTGTGCTTGCACAGTTTATTACGTTCTGATGTGAGATATCTTCCGGTCACATGATCCAATCCGCTATTCAAAGAAAAAACATAGTACCTATAAAACCTTCCACACCCTAGACCCTCCTCAGTTTTTTCGAGCGCATTATTCAAAACGCAATGAGTCAACAAGAAGAAGATTCATAACCATCATCAACCCTCTCCGCGTAATTTTTTGCATGACTGAATTTTATTGATTGATTACCTTATCTCATTTGTATAGTTATTTGTCTAAACCCATTCCCAATTTTGCATTTACTCTACCCGTTGACCGCTTCATCTGACCACCTTAAGCGACCAGGCAAATTTTCTACTCATAGAGGGAAAGATTTTAATTCATTTTAAAAAGTGTTGCGAAAGATGAAAGACTTCTGAAGTTGGTTGTAAAGAATTGGTGAGACTTTTGAAGAATTTTTGTACTGTATGTTATTGTATTGTATTGTATTGTATTGTATTGTATTGTATTGTATTGTATTGTATTGTATTGTATTGTATTGTATTGTATTGTATTACATTGTATTACATTGTATTACATTTTATTACATTTTATTACATTTTATTGTGTTGGATTCTTTAAAGAGTTCGAAGAAAGTGGATGAAAAAGTGCGATATTGCGGAGCTCTACATTTTCCAAAGTCTAATTGCCTGGTAATTTTTTGCTTCGATTCCTGAAGTTCTCTTAGTTTTTGCTATGTTTTTTATTCGTTTTTTTATGGCCCGTTTTTTATAAAAGAACTGGATGTGAAATCATTCAAGATTTGTCTATTTGCCTGTTTGTCCATTTGTCTAAAAGAAATCATTTAATAACTAACTATCAATGAAACACAGACGATCTTTGCCCTCTTTAAGTACGGCTATGCTGCAAAGATTCGCAATGTTTCCTGTCGTGTTTAAACTTAAACATTTATTTTTCCATTTAAAAAACTCTTGCCAGGAGACCTTATTGTTTTAACTTTGCTAATTTTAACCTTTTGATTGTAATCACAAACAGCTAATGAAACTCAAGCGTAAATCCCGAAACACATAATGCTGTTTAATGGAAAGAAGTAAGTACGGGTCGACATTTGCTTCCTTAAAAGTGAACCACGGAGTAGAAGGGCTTAAGATTTTCATCTTTCTTAAGAAGGGGGGGAATAATGAAGATTGAAAACTTAAATGTTTTAATTACTACTACGGGCAGATGGAAAAGCTCTTCTCAACCTTGAAGTTCGATACATTATTGAGGTACCTTTTGCTATTGTGCGCTCTGCCGACCTTCAAAATAAAGTTGGGGAGCGAGAGACTGTTCTTGTTTTCTTTTCTCATTGTGAATGATGACGATAGGTTCTATAGTTTTATGTTTAGAAAACAACTTTTTGGTTATTCCTTTTTTTATAATACAGGTACATGGGCCGAAATGGCTGTTACCCTAATTACAATTTGTTTCTGCTAATGTATTTATGATGATTATATACAAAACGTAACAAAACTGGAAATTTTATGCAAAACTGATCACAAAACAAGGCTGAGTTACCGCGTTTCTATAAACTAATCAACTTTTTGTTAAAAATTTACATTAATATTTAATAAAGAAAAAAGTAAAGAGCTTTGAAAAACATTGGCTCTAAGACATTGATGGCAGCGTTTTCCGACCTCTTTCTCTTCATCTTAGACCCCATTTACACTAGAGTGTTTTATCCGGATGAATTTTTTTCCGTTTACGTTGCTGCAGCAGCTATTTCAAAAAAATGCAAACAGAGATAATACAATTTTTTGCAGAATTTCATCCATGATAGTTCAGGAAACAGCGAAAATGATCCGAAATATTTTCAAAATCGCGCCAATTTTTCTCCTGCACCGTTTCGTTATCATATTTAAATGGCCTCAATATGAAACAGAAAGCCTCAGTGTGTAGTGAATGCGTATGAAAATTTATCGGGATAAAACCGTTTACATTCCCCTATGTCGGATAATTTTCTATCAGGATAAAAATCTATTCAATTTCGTAGCAATTTATTCAAATATTTGTACGGCAAAGCGGATAAATATCTACACGGATAAAATTCGCTCGTGTAGACGGAGAGCCTATCCGCATAAGTTTTTATCCGGATAAAACACTATAGTGTAAGCGGGGCCTTAAACCATGTATCCCTCCCAATGACGAGCATTGCAGAGCGATATCATGCCGTTAATATCATTTACCACTCAAATGAAATAATTTTTGTACGTCCCCTAGTTCTAAGCCAATGAAATACTGAACTGTATCATGATATATTATTTCTATGATTACAACTGCTAGAATTTAGTGAGCAATATTCTTTCATTAAATAATTGCCTAACACGAATATCCTTTTACAGAAATATCTGTCAGTGGCTGTACTCAATTTCACAGCAAAGTTATCGTGCTGATTGAAGAAACTTTTTTAATTAACTTTCTACCCTTCTCATTGCAGCACTTTAAAAAATTTAAAAGGTGCAATTCACAAGTTACTGAACAGACAGTAAGTTCAAATGATTTATATAAGCAATGAATTTGCAGGTAAAGTTTAGTCCAAAGAGAATTCCACTTATGAAATATTTACAATTTTCACAGCGTGTTGTGTGTTACCCTGGGTACTCAGGGTAGCTGTGTGTAAACATGGTATAGATTTGACCCTAGTGAAACAGCCTCCGTCTAAATTCGATGATAAAACCTTTGCTTAGAAGTAATATTTGACAAAAAATTCTTTGTGGTTGTAAAAATGTACAGGAGGAGCATAGTCTTCCTTATGTTAGAGTTTCACTATAGCAGATTGCTTTCGGAGCGGTCAGAGCGGTCAGAGCGGTCAGAGCGGTCAGAGCGGAGTAACTTTTTCTCGAGAGTGATCTTCGTGGTAGCAGTTACACTAAGGCGCTCCGCTTGCTCGTACGTCTTCCTTCCTCTTCATTCCTGGTCCACAGTGCTGTGCGCTTTTGTAATCATTTGTGCAGCACAAGTACACCAGATTAAATTATTTCATAATTATGTACTGTTATAAATTCTTTGTCAATAAAATCTGAATAAAATGGCAAAAAAAGCCCCCTCAATCTCCCACTCTTCTGCGGTCCGTGCTCAAAAAGGCGTTCCGAAGAACTAAAGGGCGTGTCAAAAGAAAAGTTTTTGGGGCTATGCCCCTTGTCCCTGTCTTTGGCTGGCTGGGTGGCAGTCAGGATTCGTTCTGGATCGGTTAAGATCCGCCTATGACGACCAAACGTTTTCCCTTCCTTTCAAAAAACCCACTCATTTTCAAAACTGAAACTTGACAGGTCTGATATTTTGGTCATGACAGATGGAATTGACACTGCAACCTCCCAGAATTTATATTGAGATAGCTGTAAATGCAATTTTTGTAACGAGTTGCATTTGATATACCTATTCAACCTATTTACTATTACATACTTTGTAACCTTGATTGATTTAAATCAATTTTGAAAATTTGAAAACAGAAACCACTGCGATGGAGTAATTTACATGAAGTACTTCCCTTATCCTCCGATATTATTCACGAATACCAAAACACCTTGGATGATGTAAAGAGTACTCTGAACGCTGAAAGGATTTTTGAATTCATTGATGAATATGTCTATGTTGAGCAGATTGAAGGGATTTTTTAGGAATATTAAGGGAAAGGTGAAAGAGGTAGATGATGAAAAAGAGCCTTCGAAAGGCGTACCTCCGGAAGATGAAATTGCCAGCGCTGAGGTTCAGAACAGGCGTAGTAAAGTTGCCGAATTTCTTGAACCCGTTAACAAAAACTGGGAATTCATTGAAGAAGTTCTTTTATGGAAGAACGCAATGCCTGCTTGCGTATGCTTCTTCTTGATTTCCGGAGTGTTTTGGTGAGATAATATTATAATAATTTCGTTTTCTGTGTAGAACAATACGCAATGTTTTGCTGTATCCATTGATTGGTATGCAGCCATAATTAATTACACTCAACACTTTATGCTATTGACAGCAATGTTTTGATGGATTCGACAGTTTAACGCCGGAGAAAATTGACGAGCCTTTAAATGATCAATTATCGTGATCATATTCCAGATCAAAAACAAATACAGAATATTCCAACCAAACCCTTTATACAAGTTAGATTACCTGTTATAGGAATGCTAAAAGCTGCAAACCTTGTGAAATAAAAAATTCCAGTAAAATTGGTTTACGTGTGAATGATATAGGGGATGTATGGCACTGTAGGTTGTGATGAAAAGTTATAAAGTTATAAAGTTGAAATAAAGTTACAAGAGCTACACTACATGTTTAAGGAAAAATCTGACACATAACTGATGATCATATGATGAATTTTGAACAATTAGGACCTTTATAATTCACAAACTTTATGCTAGGTCCATTGAACATCTAATATGAAAATCTGGGTGCATGGAAAGACAACACACCCAATATGGAAATCAACTTTAGTCACATTGGAAAGGATTTAGGCAGGGACACCAGAGAATGAGGATGGGGGTCAACCACCCCTGTTGCCTTTTGATAGGAGGGACAAGAGGGGCCAGAGTGCCCTTTTCATTAAATTGCCCTTCAAACCAGCCATTTGTAATAATCAGAGAGATCCACATGAAATTCTGATTGTAGTGCCTTTTCTCAAAGTTTGTAAAATAATTCCTTATGCCAAAAGTTAACCAATATTCAAGATACTGACAGAGAATGAAATAAAATTGCAGTTTCAAAGGAATTAGAAGAAGCTAGGATTTATCTTTCAAATGCCCTTTTACTGAAGCCTGCCCCTTTTTCCCCTTAGTTGTTTTGGTGTCCCTGGACACAACACAAAAAGAGAATGCTAAAAAATGAATCATTTGACATTAAAGATTATGAGGACTATGGCAATTGACTGAAGTTTTGAATTTACCAACTTTGTTTTACATGTGACCCAGACTGGAAACTTTGTTTGTTGCTCAGACCATATAATTTTGAAAATTTTACAGCTGCAAGCCTGAAATAATGCACACTTAAAAATTTGTAGTGGTAATAATGTAAAATGTTATTAACTAGGGACTTTGCCTGACCAATTTGTAAAAGCACATAGATAGAAAATTTTCAGTCCAGAGGCAATATATTACGGGCAGGTGACAAAGTTTCCAGTCTGGCATACGTGATGTTACTTGTCTTCGATCATTAAACATTGGGAAACAAATAGTGATTTGATGTCCTTGAAATGCAAATCAATGGCATTTCAAGACAGTGTGTATGTGTATAGATGAAGCCTGCACTTGATCCCATCAATGAGAAAAGTATTTTGCCAAAAGCTTTAAAACCATATTTTCCTCATCTATTCAAGATTTGATAACCAGAAATGGGCTACTATGGAAACATACCTCTGCCAAGTCACGACTACCTTGATTAGGGTGATTCTATTAATCTTTGTACTCTTCACTTATTGATTTATCTATACCAAACTGCTGGCTGACTTTGTACTGTTTTTTTTCTAAATTCAGGAAGTTCATCAATGCAAAGCTAAGAAAAATTGTTCTGGCTCTTGGGGCATTCTTGCTGGCCAATGGGCTGAGCTCAGACTTAAGAGCATCTAGCTGGGAATTCTTTGAAACAAGTAAGTGATTTTATCTACTTGGCCTGCCCATTTTCAACCATGTATTATTGCAAAGTATCACTGTCATCACAATCATCACCCTCATAATGATTACTAGATACTCTGGAAGAATTGTAGGGCAGAGGGTGGAGCAACAAGAAAAAAGGACAAAATAACAGCAAATCGAAGAAAATTGTTTAAGTTTGCTCTGTCAAGGAGACAAATACCCTGCCCCCTTCGTGCCCCCATCCCCCAGTATCCATGATGATCATCATCATTATTATTATCATCCTATTTGTATTTTATACCAGTACCAGGTATTACCAAATATGTAAAATACATGTTTAATGAGGTCAAGCCCTTGTTTATTTTGTTTTAAAAAGATGCTTCCATGATTTTTTTCTCCATATTTAATGAGCAACTTAAGTAATATTTTGTTATATATTATTTATTTCTTCAACATATATTTATCATTCACCCATCTTCAAATATTTATGTACTTTATATGATTTTTGCAATGTTCTCTGTGTTTATTTCTTAAGTGATTTAATTGTTTGATTTATATTAATGGTTATGGTCTTGTATGATGATAGTGTGCCAGTTTTCCAAGTCTGAGCTCAAAATGATGTGACTAATTTTCTGATGATTTAATTTCTCATCTTTGTTTGGAGGAAAATTTGTTTGTTGTGAATCAAGACTACATTTTCATCATAAAATAGATGGTAGAAGTTTAAAATCTAAAATTGTTTCTTTTAATGTTTGTACAAGGATTAAATAAGTAGCTTTCACAAGCTAAGGACCATGCATCTATAATTTCATGCCTAAAGTGACTTTTGTTCAACTATTTAAGTAAAAAGGGGAACAACATTACCACCAGAAACATGATAGGAAGGCCAAATGTTCCTGGTCCCACCTTCATTATTGGTCATACTGTTTAAATGATAGTGCAAAAAAGTAAATTATATTCTTTGAAATGTTTATGATATTCTCTGAAATTTACTGTTACAACGTCCTAATGTTTCTTCGCTTGAAGTTGACATTGTGCTACCGGTTTCAGCAATGCATATTATATCAATGATGTCAATTAAAGTTGGCAGATGAATAAATGTAGTTCAGTTCAGTTCAGTTCAGTTTTATTTTAAATTCCACTGGATACATACACTTGTTGCAAATTAGAAATAATCCAAGCTTAAAAGTATAAACAATGTAAAAGGAAGTTAAATAATATAAACGTAACATAACAAATACAGAGTAGAGGAGAAACAAGCTAGTATTGTAAACAGGGCATTATTTAAAGGAGGAAACTTTCTCAGTAGTTTATAAACTAATCGAGGAGAAAGCACCCCCTAGTAAATTAGATGCGTTCTGCTTAATTTTTTAGTTCTAAAAGTAAAAAGAATCATCTGTAAGGTAGTAAGGATTTGCAATAATCTTCAACCAATTTTTGAATCATTTTTAGCAACTGGCTTGCCATACATTATATTCTGGTCTGCCAGAAATTCCTACCATGATTGTAATCCTAGGTCAACTTTTATTCTAGCAGTGCTAAATGCCTATCTAAGTTTAATAAAGTTGCTAATGTGTCAGGTTTCCTCTGAGTGGTTGTAAGAAAACTTGTTTGATGAGGAATTATTGCCTCTTTTACCATTCTCCTTTCTTTATTTTTCAAAGGACAGTACCTTTTGAATCAATTTTTTTTATTTTTTACAGATTTTCATTTTCAAACAAGAGGTGAACCTAAGTAAGTTCATCTTTGGTATTTTTGATACAAAATAATGTCATGTACCATTGACAGAAGCACAAAACAGCTTTGGGGCTGAAGGTGTTTGTTTTCTGTGCAATCTTATTGTTCTATTACTTTTAAAAAGGCTATAAGAGCAATCATTCTCATTTTAAAGTTTGAACTGATTGCTCTTCTTGTCCACCCAAGCCTATTTTTTGCCCCTACTAAACAGCACAACCTCAGATAATATCTTTTCAAGTTATTGATTGAATTCATAATTTTACTTGTGTTTTATGATTTTTAAGATTTTTATTGAGAAGGCTGCAAAACAAGACAGCTCTGTACTTTTTGTTAGTTTTGCCGCCAATTTTGTGTTACTCTAAATATGGAACTATTTTTCAGATTGCAGTTCAGCTTTGATGAATTGTGCCTTTTTATTGCAACTGGTTGGGCCATGTTTGCCCAGGCTCATGAATCACTGAGAAACATGAGCACAACTTGTCCTCCAAAGGTACTAACTTTGTTATTGATTTGAAATAACTGCTTGATGATGTGTCTTTCAAATGTTCTTGGTATTGGTGTTAGGAAAATAGATAAAAGGGACAGGGACGTTTATTGATGGATATTTTCGGGAGAGTGAAGGGTACAAAATTATTGACTGACAACAAGCCAATTGTAATTTTTCACTAAGATATACTACTTAGGTCTTAGGTTGACTTCAAGTCATTTCCTTTCTGAATTGAGGGAATTTTTGGCATTATTGCTATTTGATGTCGTTCTCTTAATATAAATAGACATTGGGACTAAACTAACACTTCAGATTGCTCTCAAATTTTCAGATTGCTCTCAAATTTTCCTACAAATTCAAGTATTGTTCAAGAAATATGAGTGTCAAACTTGCCAGGCATTTATGTGCCTGATAAGGAATATAATCTATACCTGCAGGGTATCTTAGGGGAAAATGAAGTTTTACCAAGCCCCAGCTGAACCAGGGGTTGATTTAAGACAAATACCTTTTAAGAAACTGAAATGAAAAGTACAACTGTTCTTTTCACTGTTTAATAAAGTACAACTGAACTGACAATATTATTGTCTATTTTGGTCTTTATGTGCTAGTTAATGATACCCAAGTATCATCCATTTTAAGCAACTATACTATGCAGTTAGCTCTTTGTAAATTTAGTTATCAGATGTTAATTTCTTTTGTAAATGGCAATTCATTAAACATAGCTGTATGTACTCATCATCAGAGTTGGCACATGTTGCTATGGTGAATAGGAAATTTTAGCCAAGAATTCTCTACTTGGTAATCAGTTTCTGAATGGGTAGGAAACGGATTGGATGTTTTATTTACTAGATTTTGCCACTGATTGTTCAAAAAAATTCGTTGATTTGATGTCAAATTTTAAGGAAAGTTTGGTGTGAAGTTTTCTTAATTTTACACAAAAAGATGTCCCTCCATTTGTGCTTTATATCAGTCTTTAACTCTCTTTGTATTATGATAACGTTTCACGAACTAGTTGCCTTGTCTGATTTTTTAATAACGACTTTTGGTTGCCAGGATCTTCTGTCTTGTTTAGTTATTAATTTTGCCTCACGAGGTCCCTCAGACCCCCCTGATATCAACATTGCAAGTTTAAGTTTTTTTATTCTAAGATATAAAAGCGTCACTGGATTAGACTTAGTATTAGTGTTCTCAAGCATGCTCAAATTTGAATTGTTCTTCCGTTTGTTTCTGCTTTGTACATTTAAACGATTTATCATTTGGTGGCACTTCAACTTAAATTGGGAACTGAACTTGCATATTGACAGGTCTGCAGCAAATTTGACATGTTTAGGAAGAAAGATAACAACAAACTTGATTGTGAAATAAACACAATTTTTCGTAGCGAAATGAATTATTAGAAGGGTGAGTTAAGGTGAAGCCTGTCCTCTAGTGGGAAAGTATGAAGGAAAGACGGAGAAGGAAAAATAACTTAAACGGGCCTCAGCAGAGTCGCTAAAAATGTTTAAATATTTTGTAACATTATTTTGAACATGATTTAACTAACTGAGCATTGTCATGCGTATAGGAGGCCAACCTTGCCAAACCCTGTTAGAGGACAAAAGGAATCAGTTTAAATAAGACACAAGACATAAGACATAAGATTTTTTTACTTCAACCTGAACGTAGAATTACAATCAACGATAAAGTATAACTAGTGAAAACTAGTAAATAAAGTACAGTTGGATTGGATTTGGATGCCCAAATCTGACGCAAGCAAGTAATCAAATTGATTTTATATAAGTATATCAAATGGTTGGGAAGGGATCTAAAGCAGAGCTAATTCACAAACCCCCACCCGGCCGAACCGGCCAATTCAGACGTGCTAATAACGGTTTTTTGTTAGCTGAATGTATCTGCTACGAAGGAGAGAATTTGCTGCTTCAACTGTAGTCAATTATTTTCGTAATACCGAGTTGTTTTATAAGATTCAAAGGCCAGATTTGAAAATAAGCGTTTAAGATGTTTTTTATTTGTCACATTATTGAAGAGAGGATCGTTTTTTAGATTATCAAATACTTTAGTACCAGTGTATCGCAGAGAGTTTAGCCCACAAGTAGTGGTGTTGTACTGCTGTGTATGAAGTCCTCTAGCCTAGCAGATGAAAGACGAGTCAGTCGATTACGCACATATTTAACTCTAAAAAACCATTTTAATCCGTTTGGTATTTGATTCTTTTCAAAGTCATGCATAAAATGTAATTAGATCTGAGAATATATTTTTTTATTTATGCGTATAAGAATTGACAATTTACGCAATATACAAAACTATACCACAATAAGCATGGAAGTGCATCACAACCCTAATAGAGGCAGAATGATGCAGGCTGAGGGTATCATGTAACTTCAAGATTTTTAAGTCTCTGAAATGCTGCGATGTGTGATCGTTATATTCTGAAAAAGTGATTGTTCGTAAAATGACTTAATGGATTTATTGTAATTAATTCTGTAATGAGTAATTTTTTACTTTTATTTTTTAGCTTTAGACAAAGTATATTGTAACGTTTTCACGGCTCCTAAAAACAAGTTTAGCTGATGGGGTAACCGTTCCTAAAGAAAGTAAAATGAAAAAATTGGACAGTTTACAATATTCTTGATTCAAAAAGGAAGTCGTAATAGACGAGATGTTATATGCTATAAGGCCATATGCTATCAGAGATATCAAGATGAGTCAACTACAATTTTGAAGATGGTAGTTATTGGACGGCTTAGGGCAAGATTAGTGAATAACGGTGCTGACGGGCTGCAAACCGTTTTGAATGTTAATTACAGGAAACTACGAGACCCGAAAATAGGGTGATGATCAAAATCGCGAAGATAATGGATGACTAGATTTCCGTCCGATATAAGAATGCGATCTGTGATTTTTGCTTTAAAGTCACTGACTCACTCCACTTTATCAATGCAGACAAACTTTCGGACAATTAAAACATCGGGGGCAACTAATTTCAAAGAATTTGAAATTTCAAATAATCACAATTCTCGGTGAACTTTTGTTCATTTCGAACCTAATTCCCCCTCTTTTTGAAGCATTTACTCGTGTATTAAATTTCTATTTTTATTTTAGTTTTACTGCATCGTGGCTGTTTCTTTGTTCACCATTTTGGCCCTGTTCACCTACATCCCTGTTCTTGAGCTCATTTACGTCTTGGTGTGTCTTCTCTTCTTCTACCCATCCATGAATTATTATGGAATAATGGACAAAATCGAGGCTAGAGTCCAACGTCTCACAAACCCTATAGTCAGGCACTGGGAGAACAACAGGACGAAACGGAGTCGAGTCATTACACAGCCAGGTATTACGTATGATGCTATTTTTATCTTGCCTCTGTTTGCTGTATGATATTTCTCCAAATCTTCAAACCTGTCAACTCTCCCCGTTTTGCCGGGAGACTCCAGGTTTTGCTTGCTTTCTCTCGGTCTCCCGGTTTTTTATAATTTTCTCCCTGTTTTTCCTTGTCTTTCAGCAGAGGTTTTCTTATAACAAAAATTATTGAAATGCCTTTCTTCGTGCCAAAGTTTTTTGTTAGTGTTTACAAATCAACGAAAACGTTAAAAACCATTAGGAGAAAGCTTCCCATGATACTTATTGTCATTAACTGTTTGTCCAACATGACTTTTTTTGCAGGTATGTTGTTTATAAATTCAAGAAATTCCAGGAATCTTCTTGTTTTTGGCCAAATCTCCCTGTTTTTCTCAACAAAAAATCTGAAATCTCCAGGTTTTGAAAATTTTAGGTTGACAGGTCCGAATCTTTGTCAATTATTTTATTATCTTAGAAACTGAGACAAATGCCATACTTCTGAAATATCAAATGTGTCTCTTTTCAACCTTTTTGGGTTCCCATAGTCCTCATCTGGAAGGGCTAATTTTTCCTACAATTTTTATGCACACAAAACACATACAATGTCTGTGTTGTGTTGTTAGTCGTTCGTGGCCACGGAATTTCTATGGGTTGTCCCTAATCAGTAACATTTACATAAATATGCATGCATCCAGCAACGGCTGCCCTTTTTGAAAATGTTCTGTATCAATAGTTACTTTTTCAACGTCCCTTTGGTTTTAGTAGGCAATCAAGAGCAAACTGATGACTCAGAGGATGAATTCACGTTGGAAAGAAATCAGTTCACAAAGAAGGTGCTGTCTTCAGCAGTTCCTGATGCAGCTGCTGAGAGTGAAAGCGATGAAGAGTTACTCACAAAGCACCTACCTGTTCACGACGGAGGTATATTTTTAATCTTAACAAGTTTACTCTTAAATTTTTATAGTGTGGTGGAGGTCCAAATGAAAGCTGACTGGAAAGTAAATAAAGAATCAAAAAATGTGATGGATCATCATGAATAAAGCATATTAGTTAATATTTGATTCACCTGGAGACTGTCATACCTGCATACTTAAGGAAACATTCATTTTTAAAATCTGAGAAGATCGTTCAATAGAGATAAAGCAATGTACCTAGGTATTTCGTTGCTTTTTAAGTAAAAGAATAATTTGTCGTCATCTTTTGGCTCGTAGTTCAATTACTTTTTACCCAAGCAGCTGATCCAATCTCTTTGCAAAATCGCCTTTCTATACTGTTAAGGAAACAAAGATATGATAATATAAAAATATATATAACATTTGATGGAACTGTCATACTACAAAACGTTTGGCCAAAGTTATGATTTATCAGCAGATTATCCTATTAAGGCTTGATATCCGTGTTTGATAAAAATGAAACAACTCAGAGCCTCCATTTTCCCTTCAGGATCATTTTTATATGCAAAAATACCTGAAACAGGCATAATGGGTCGAGATTGAAAATGTGCAATCATGTATCATTCGAAGAGGTTTAGTAGGCCTTGTTAAACAAACGTTAAACGTAAGCTAATGATTGTACTTGCTAGGTCTTACCAAGTGAAGCTTTTAGTATCCAAACATTCTCATTTAAGAAACATCCCATTGATAGAATAGTTAACAGAAGCAATTTGTAGCAGGATGACCTGTTTAGATGGGCTACATAAATGCCTCTTGCTATGAGTGATTTTTCTGCGAAGTTTGTTAGCGGGAAACCTTTCTTTTAGTAGATCAAAACTATATTGCTAATAACATTATTTTGTTTGTAGAGTATTTCACAGAATCTCAATTTGAAGAGAACTTAGCAATGCCATCTATGTCCAATTTTGATAGCATGATGGAGCCGTATGAGGATTTTCACGCGGGACTAAAATTCCCAGACTATGAAGATTCGTCGACAGTTAAGACCTTCAACGTATTAGCAGCCGCCGCAAATAATTTCGATACTGATGACGAAATCGACGATTTGCCGTATGACAACGACAAGATTGCATTGCATAAAGATGAAGTCTCAGGTCAGTAAATTTAATTCAAGATACCTGTTTACAAGGTCCTCTCTCATATCCACATGAGTAGCTGGTGTCCGTTGGGAAGCACTCTGGCATTGTCAGATTGGAGACAGAGGTGGGTAAAGTCAGCCCACCTCCTGTTGAAGCATGCTAGACTCGAGGGAGATTTTTAAGCACCTCTGTTAAATTGTTGGCACCATACTACTAACTGGAAAAGGTGCAGTCACACCTCAGCATCTAATTAACTAAATTTAGATTTTTGTACAGGCTAATCTTCAATTGTGTGGCAATGTTATGGTTTAAAGATTGGTCCTACATATTTAGATAACGTCCTGTGGTCCAGCATGAAATTTAATCTCAAGTCCCAAAACCTTGGATGAATACTTTCGTAAAGTCTTAGCAGTAGTTCTTTGATTTCAAGTTTCATTCTTTTTCTTACCACCGTTGCTCTGAATCTACACGTTTTGTACCGTTCCTTTCTATTTTGAAGCAACATTTATGCTCCCATTAGGTTATCAAAGCCATCTGCCTCAAAAAACTGGCACTGAAGGCATTGGTGGCCATCTGAAACAGTTGCCCCCTTTAAGCTATTACTGTTCCTCAAGTGTGGACTAATCCTAATACTACGTACACAAATCCAAATTTCATTCTTAGAAGGGTTAGAATTACTGAATGAGGGTCGATGACGGTTAACCTACTCGGGGGTTTACTTTCTACATTTACCACGGCGAAGAATAGTTTCAATCAAATTTCGCCACCCCTGTATCTTGATAAAAATTTCGCCACCCCTGTCTCTAACAAAAGCTTCGCTACCCCTGTCTCTAAGTCTTCCATTGGAATCAATTTTTTGTCGCTGTCAGTTTTATTTTAATCATAGGTACTTCGCTTTGTTTTAGATCCAGCAATAATGACAATGAGTCGCCCGGTCGGAGATAACGAATCGCAACTCAGAAAGAGAAGAGTCGAAAGGGATTCAAAACATGGTCCCATCCCACACGAAACTTACGATGCATCCGATTTCAGCTCGGAAGAATGCACACGTGCTGTTGAAGCAGATTTTGAGTTCCTTGAACATGCTGATGTAGACGATCTAAACTTTCAGCCCGAAAATAACGTTGTAGAGAATAAAGCGACTGGGAGCTCGTATACTGACAGTGGTATTGCATCTGTTTCTAAATGGCTCGGCTATGAATAATTTATAACGAGAGTAATGAGTGAGAAAAGCAAGTATTCGATATGATAGGCTTCCGTCCCTTCGTGAGGCAAACCTAACTTCACGCTAGATTTAGTTCCGGTAAGTCGGGATGCTAATGAAGCAGGTGTAGGTTTGTGTTGCATACGAACGTCTCTTTAACCTGGCAGCTCGTACTTCTCGTAGACAAGATTTCAGAAACAGCTTGATTTCATTTTACCTAGGGAGTAAGACAAGGGGAAACTTTTTACCCTTTGCATTAAACCAGTGTATATTCATATATGCCAAAGCAAGAATGTCAGTGGCTTTTGTAAATGACCAACTAGTTTTTTCGGTTTGGTATGTGGAGGTATAGACATACGTCTTTCTCCAACTTTTGAAATGTGTCCGACCTTCCTTTAGAATCTCAAAAAATTAAACAAATCCCGGTTTATTTATAGAAATGTATTAATTGAAAAACTAATTAATTTAGTTTAAGGGCATACTTTTGGTTTTAAAGTATTTTAACATCAAAATACGGAGAATTCACATGTTTGAAAAATGTGAACCTTGACTTGTAAAAGGGGGGTGTTTCCTCATTTGTAAACGAAAATCATCCAAAGACCCCCTTTCCATCTTTTTTCCATCACTTGATCCGCAGCTTTCGAAACATTGCCCGACCGAAGTGTTTGGGGGCTGGTTCGTGGTTTAACACTTACATCGCAAAATGAATTTTGCAAGTAAATGTTATTACACACGGAGCCCCCAGCTTCTTATCTACCAGCCTCCCCCTGTTTAATTCTCTTTTCTTTTTTATTGATGGATTCTGATTATGGCATGCTGGTACTTTCGGCTTACTGCGTGTATAGATACTAATGTTAATAGATACTTATCAACGTGTTTAAGCAGTATTCCTCTAGCTTCGAAAATATATCAATCGTCAAAGTATCAAATTACTGGGACAGAAAGTGTTGGCCTAGAAATTGCTAGAGTCTTGTACCGTATAATTATCGATTTTATTCTGAATTATAACTGTACTTAATGTAAGCTTTTGTCTCCCTGCTTGTCGTTTGGATTGATCTCGAATTTTTTTCGAAGTTGATAATGGGTAGGGTTTTTCAATTTATTTCCCTTGTCTCAAATGTTTTATGCCTTGATAACAGGACCTACAAACCAGTTGCAGTTGCAACAGTTTATGTTTTCTCATTCCTTTAAAAAATATCTCCCCCCCCCCCCCTTTGTTGTAGAGTGCATGTATGTGAAACACAAATGATAGAACTACTTATCTAAAATTGATTCGGGGAAAGGAGGGATTCGAATTTTACAGGGGTAATGTGAAGTAGAAAATTGCAAAAGCTGCATTTTGTCTTCACAGTTATTTTCGGGATTGTAGCATTTAACTCTTTTCTTGGAACCAGGCTTCTAGGGACTTAGAACCTGTCTATTTTCCCGGAATCAAACTTCCAGGAACCTGAACAATTTGAATGACATGTTTTTAATTGAGTTCCGTTTGTGGCTTGCCAATTGACCTCTTAAAACCCAACACATGCCGGCCCGCAGATTGGAAGTCCTTGATTCTTGGAAGTAGTGTCCCGATAAATGTTTCATTTTTAGTTAAAATTTGCTAAATTTTGCTGTGTTATTTTTGTAGATATATTCAAACACACAGCTAAGGGGTCCTACATGGAACTCTACCTCAATTGTTCTGCATCCCCAAGAATTTCACCCACATATGCTGTCTGCATTTTACGCGAGTTAAAACATTCCTCGTATTTATATGCTTACCACTAATTAGGAAAGTAAATGATCAGTTTTCTAACTAACAATTACGTGTTGTTCGTTTACATTCTTAGAATGACAAATTTTATAGAAAACCAGTTTTGTCCAAAATAGTTTATTTCTAACATTGTATAAGTTCTGGTCATTCTGCATTAAATTTAACTTTTACTTTTCGACAAGGGAGCGCGTGAGTAAAATGAACAAGCTCACAGATATTGAAAGCAATACAACAAAATAAAATAATATGGTGATGTCACACCCCAACACCCCCATCAGATACGCCCCTGGTAACTAATTAACAAAAATAACGCAAATCCTCAAACCTCAGCTTGGGGCTTTATTTTTTTAGATCTTTTTTATCTCATAGGGGGATGGGCCAATTCGCGGATTTATGGATGGTTTCTGCCCCCTTTCGTAGAAGATCGCCGCTGCGCCAATGCCTGCGCAGTATCTCCTTGCATTACACGTGGGAAGAGCGTTCGTCGTGTTCCTAAACTCTAAGAAGAAACAGCAAAGACCATTGATATCTAAGAGTGAGTGAAACTCATTTTGGGTTTAGTTCCATGCCAACTGACGGCAAATATCTTTCATTAAAAGTTCATAAAATGTATTCGCCCTTTTTATCTAAAATGACAAAACCATTAGGACCGTATTGGCCGTCAGTTTTGCCGTAAAAAGGTGAAACCAATAACTTGTAGCAGTGAATGTTCAAAAAACATATTATAATTTTACGTAAATATTTGTTTTCATGTTTAGCTTCTAGTTCATTGCTCATGATCATCGAATGCTCAATTTTAGATTCTAGTTAGATTAAATATTTTGGAACTAAATTTTTTTGAATTGAACTAAAATTTAAACTTGTACTTTTTCCCAGTGTATGGTCAAGTTTATTGATATTTACAGGCCCACACCTTAGCTGGGGCATTGGAAAAGGTCATCAAAATTGTCAGGATGGCCACTCTGGTGTACCAGCGCTGTGAATTTTTGTCCAAACATGCCTAAAAGTGCAAAATTATTTTTAAAAAGTCAAAGAAAGGGGGAAATGCAGATAAGTGAAAAATAATCTTATCAGCCACAAAAGCTTATTGGGCTTGTAGAAAGCTAATATACGATATAGCCTTGTAGACTCGGGTTGTAGTCACATCAAATGTTGTTTGAAAAGCTATCACTGTGAGCAGAATGTGACTGTAATCATAGCTTCATTTAACAGTTTTACATATTTGGGTCTAAATTTCATGTGACTGTAAATGGTTTTGACTTTAAGCAGGAATGACTATCAGTGAAGTATACTATAATTGCAACCCTTAAAAAAATTGTCCACTGCCTAAATCCCTGGAACAAAGATATATACACAAAATTGGGATAGGAAGCTTGCATTTTTTAGATACTGCCCAGTATGCAGAGCATGGTATCAGCTCCCTGGAGATGCAGACATGGTATTGTGAGGGCACACTTAGCATCTAGGTTTATACAAATTAGATCCAGGAAAATTGATAGTTCTGCCACACCTGACACTTTTGGACGATTTTGTTCACCTGCAGCATGATGTGACACTTTGTGACCCTAGATGACTTGCCAGGCCATGACATGTCCAGTGTGCATTCAGCTTTATGCCTTCAAATAGTTGAAAAGTCCAAGTGAAGGTGCACAAATGATTAGCTCTAGAGCTAAAGTGATTCTAACTTGACAAGATTAAATAAGACTAAATAATCTAAGCCATTGATGTATTTTTATTTCATGCACTAAAAATATTGAATTAGTGAATTTTAACAATTGCAAATAGCCTTACTTCCCTTAAGAAGATATTAGGTTTTTCCCAGGTAGGTTTTTTTGGCAAAAGAACTTATAAAAGAAGGAGGATTGGAGGAGTGGGATGAAATGAAAGGAATCTTTAATTACATTTTTAGACTTGAAGATGTTACAGGCAGGAAATGGTTGTGATGAGCATTGTGATATGGATACAAAATATAAAGACAAAGTTACAGTTTTGAAGACCAGAGCAGTAAACTATCTGCTTACAAAATTAAGAGACAAAGAGACCTGTGCCAAAGATTTCATGATTCATGGTGACAGGCTTATGCGCATCTTGGCAGAGGAGGCCCTTGCCAGCTTACCAAATGTTGGCTATGGCACAGTAGATACACCATGTGGAAAAAGTAAGGGTTTGGTCAAAAAGGGGGAGCTGAAGCTTTGTGTTGTCTCCATTCCAAGGTCTGGTGATATTCTTCAAGAAGCTGTAAGACAAATAAAACCTGGGGTGAGAATTGGGAAGATACTAATACAGCGAGATGAGTCTACTAAAGATAAAAGGCCTATATTGTATTACAAGAAATTACCGAGGGATATTTCTGAATGTTTTGTCATTCTGGTTGATCCAATGTTGGCTACTGCTGGCAGTGCCAAACGTGCTATTGCAGTTCTAATTGAGGCTGGAGTGAAAGAGGAATGCATTATGTTTCTTAATCTTGTCTGTTGTCCTGAAGGAATAAAAAATCTTTTTTGTGCATATCCAAATGTTTCAGTCATGACAGGTGCTATTGACAAATGCTTGAATGAACACATGTTCATAGTACCAGGATTAGGTGATTATGGAGATAGGTATTATGGTACTGTTTAGCCAAGAGTAATATTTTTCTAAGAGAGATCAATAACTGTAGCTTGTAACAACAATTTGTAAAAAAATTGATCTATATTTTGGAACTTTTTATTTTCGTACAAATCAGCACACAGCCCATATAGTGAGATTTTATGTACAATGGACATTGTAATTATATCATTTAAATCTTTGTTTAACATTAAATGAAATGACCACATAGCACAAGGCTCTTCCAGTTTATTTCTACAAAAATGTTCAATCACAGCCTGTTTAGTATGTATAAATTATCTCCATTTTTTGTTATCCAACCTTTACAGTTAACTAATTTTGATATCCAAAAGAATGCTCTGCCTTTTAGTTCTCAGTTGCGACACAACCACACACATCTCGTTCTGCCCGCGAGTCTCATGATCGGAACTAAAAAGGCAGAGCATTCTTTTTGATATCAAAATTATTAACTGTAAAAGGTTGGTAACAAAAAATGGAGATAATTACATACTAAACAGGCTGTGATGAACATTTTGTAGAAATAAACTGGAAGAGCCTTTCTACATGTGGTCATTTCATTATGTTAAACAAGAGATTTAAATGATCTAATTACAGTCCATTGTGACAATGTATATAGATACTAGACGGGATACTTTAGGTGCTTGTTGCTGATTTGACGGAGTAACACTGATTGTTCCTCCAAAATGTAGTATTGAACGTTTTTCGATCTTTATCTTGGAACATGATAGATCTATTAATCGTATATCATTTGAGGGATGATATATATGCTGCTTTTGGGCCGCGTAAAGAGTACCTCTTCTAGGAAGATCGGATAGACTCATAAATCAACCTAATCTGTTACATGACTGTGTTCAATGTCAGCATTCTCGCAATAGCACCTGTCATGAACTGAAACATTTGGATATGCACAAAAAGATTGTTTTTTCCTTCTAGTGAAACAGACAAGATTAGTACAAATTGCAATTCCTCTTTCACTCAGCTCAATAGAACTGCAAAGCACGTTGGCACTGCAGCAGTAGCCAACATTGGATTAACACAGAATGACAAAACATTCAGAAATATCCCTCGGTATTCTGGATACAATAGTGGCTTTAGTTTTAGTAACTCATCTGCTGTATATGTATTCCCATTTACACCCAGGTTTTATTTGTTCTTACTGCGTTCTTGAAGAATATCACCAGACCTTGGATGGAACAACACAAAGCTAGCTCCCCTTTTGACACAAACCTTACCTCTTTACCACATGGTGTATTATGTGGCTGCCAACCCATTTGGTAAGCTGGCAAGGGCCTCTCTGCCAAGATGCGCATAAAGCCTGTCACCCATGAATCATGAAATCTTTGGACAGGTCTCTTTGTCTAATTTTGTAAGCAGATAGTTTACTGCTGTCTGTCTTCAAAACTGTACTTTGTCATTTATATTTGTACTCATATCACAATGCTCATACAACGCATTTCGCCTGTAACATTTCAAGTCTAAAATGTAACTTAAAGATTCCTTCTTTCATACACCACTCTCTCCAATCCGTCCTTCTTTTATAAGTCTTTTTGCAAAAAACACTACCTGGGAAAAACCTAATATTTTTAGGGAAGTAAGGCTATTTGCATTGTTAAAAATTCACTAATAATATTTTAGTCGCATGAAATAAAAATCATCAATGCTTTATTCTATCTGTCAAGTTAGAATCACTTAAGCTCTAGAGCTAATCATTTGCTGCACCTTTCACTTGGACTTTTCAACTATTGTGAAAGGCATAAAGCTGATAGCAACTGGAAATGTCATGGCCTGGCCAAGTCATCTAGGGTCACAAAGTTTGTCACATCATCCCTGCAGGTGACAAATCGTTCAAAGTGTCAGTGTGAAAACATTAATTTTCCTGATCTAATTTTTGTATAAACCTAGATGTAGTGTGCCCTCAAAATACCATTCTGCAATCCCAGGAGTGATACCATGGCTCTGCTTAGGGCGTATTTATAGGAAAAATGCAAGCTTCCTATCCCAATTTTGTGTATAGATATCTTTGTCCAGGGATTTAGGCAGTGACATTTTTTTAAGGGTTGCAATGTATAGTATACTTCACTGATAGTCATTCCTGCTTAAAGTCAAAACCATTTAACAGTCACATGAAATTTAGACCCAAAATATTAAACTGGTTAAATGAAGCTATGATTCATGTCACGATTCTGCTGCTCAGGCAGTGATACGCTTTTTCAAACACATTATTGTGACTACACCCGAGTCTTCAAGGCTATATCGTATATTAGCTTTCTACAAGCCAATAAGCTTTTGTGCTGATAAGATTAATTTTTCACTTATCTGCCATCTCCCCTTTCTTTGACTTTTTTAAAATAATTTTTGCCCCACTTTTTAAGGCAATGTTTGGACAAAAAATTCACAGGCGGTACAACCAGAGTGGCCATCCTGAAATTTTTGATGACTTTTTCCATGCCCCAGCTAAGTGCGTGGGCCTTGTAATATCAATAAACTTGACCATACACTGGGAAAAAAGTAAAGTTTAAATTTTAGTTAATCCAAAAATTTAGTTCCAAAATATTAATCTAACTAGAATCCTAAAATTGAGCATTCGATGATCGATAGCAAATGAACTAGACAGCTAAACATGAAAAACAAATATTTACGTAAAAATTACTATATTGTTTTGACATTCACTGCTTCACAAGTTATTGTTTACCTTTTTAACGGCAAAACTGGACGGCCACATACGGCCTAATGTTTGACATTTTTAGTATAAAAAGAGAGCGAATCATTCTTAATGAACTTTTAATGAAAATATTTGCCGTGAGTGTGGCATGGAACTAAACGCAAATGATTTCACTCACTCTTAGATATCAATGTCTTGTGCTGTTTCTTCTTAGAGATATAGCACGACAACGCTCTTCCCACGTGGTAATGCAAGGAGATACTGCGCAGGCATTGGCGCAGCGGCGATCTTCTCGAAAGGGGCAGAACACCATAAATCCGAGAATGGCCCATCCCCCTATGAGATAAATAAAGATCTAAAAAAATAAACCCCAGCTTGAGGTTTGAGGATTTGCGTTAATTTATTTGTAATTATTACAGGGGCGTATCCTTTGGAATGGGGGGGGGGTGGGTTTTTGAGGGTTCGGGGCGGGACATCACCATATTATGTTTATTTTGTTGTATTGCTTTCAATATCTGTGAGCTTGTCATTTTACTCACGGCGCCTCCCTTGTCGAAAACGTAAAGTAAATCTTAATGCAGGAATGACCAGAACTTATACAATGTTGAATAAACTATTTTTTGGACAAAACTGGTTTTTTCTTAAAAATTTTGTCATTCTAAGAATGTAAAGCGAACAGACACGAAGCTGTTAGTTAGGGAAAAACTGAATCATTACTTTCCTAATATGGTAACATATAAATACGAGGGAATGTTTAACTTCGCGTAAAAGCAGACAGCATATGGGTGGAAAATTCTTGGGGATGCCAGAACAATTGAGCAGGAGAGTTCCATGTTAGGACCCCTTAGCGTGTGTTTTGAATATATCTACAAAAATAACACAGCAAAATTTAAGCAAATTTTAAACTAAAAATGAAACATTTATCGGGACACTACTTCCAAGAAATCCAGGAACTTCCAATCTTGCGGGCCGGCATGTGTTGGGTTTTAATAGAGGTCAATTGCCAAGCCACAAACGAACTCAATTAAAAACTGTCATTCAAATGTGTTAGTTGTCGAGAAGTTTGATTCGGGAAAATAGACAGGTTTTCTACAGTCCCTAGAAGCCTGGTTTCCAAGAAAAGAGTTAATGCTCAAATCCCGAAAATATGTGAAGACAAAATGCAGCTTTTGCAATTTTCTACTTCACAATTACCGTTCTCTGTAAAATTAAGAATCCCTCCTTTCCCCGAATCAATTTTATAAATAAGTGTTCTATCATTTGTGTTTCACTGACAGCACTCTACAACAAAGGGGGGGGGCGGAGATATTTTTTAAAGGAATGAGAAAACAAAACTGTTGCACTGCAACTGGTTTGTAGGTCCGTTATCAGGCATAAAACATTTAGACAGCGGAAATAAATTGAAAAAACCCTAGCCCATTATCAAACTTCGGAAAAAATTCGAGATCAATGCCAAACGACAGCAGAGAAAAAGCTTACATTAAGTTACACGGCATACATCAGATAAAATCGATAATATATACGGTACAAGAGACTCCTAGCAATTTCTAGCCAAACACTTTCTGTCCCAGTAATGTTGCATACTTTGCCGATGTGATTATATTTTCGAGCTAGAGGAATACTGCCTTCAAACACGTGATAAGTTATCTGATTAACATAGTATCTATACACCGATAAGCCGAAAGTACCAGCATGCCAAATATCAAGAATCCATCAATAAAAGAAGACAAGAGATTAACCGGGGGGAGGCTGGTAGTAAGAAAGCTGGGGGTCCGGTGTGTAATAACTTTACTTGAAAATTCAGTTTTGCGATGTAAGTGTTAACCACGAACCCAGCCCCAAACACTTCGGCCGCGGGCAATGTTTCGAAAGCGCGGATCACAGTGATGGAAGAAAAGAGGTAAAGGGGGCTTTTTTTGACTGATGATTTTTCGTTAACAAATGAGGAAACACCCGCCCTTACAAGTCAACGTTCAACATTTTTCAAACATGGTGATTCGTCCGTATTTTGTGTGATGTTAAAATATTTAAAACCAAAAGTAGCCTTAAACGTAAATTAATTAGTTCTTCAATTAATGACATTTCTATAAATAACCGGGATTTGTTTAATTTTTTGAGATTCTAAAGGAAGTCGGACACATTTTCAAAAGTTGGAGAAAGACGTATGTCTATACATCCACATACCAAACCGAAAAAACTAGTTGCGTCATTTTACACAAAGCCACTGACATTCTTGCTTTGGCATATATGAATATACTGGTTTAATGCAAAAAGGGTAAAGTTTCCCTTGTCTTACTCCTAGCGTAATGAAATCAAGCTGTTTCTGAAATTTGTTCTCGAAGATGTACGAGCTGCCAGGTTAAGAGACTTCGTATGCAACACCGAAACTCTACCTGCTTCATATAGATGCCCGACTTAGCCGAACTAAATCTTAGCGTGAAGTTAGGTTTGCCTCACGAAGGGAGGAAGCCTATCATAGTCGAATTACTTGCTTTTCTCACTCATTACTCTGTATATATAATTATTCCATCGCCGCAGCATTTTAGAAACAGATGCAATACCATGTCAGTATACGAGCTCCCAGCGCTTTATTCTCATACAACGTTATTTTCGGGCTGAAAGTTTAGGATCGGCTATCAGCATGTTAGGAAACTCAAAATCTGCTCACAGCACGGTGCATCTTCGAGCTGAAATCGGATGCATCGTAAGTTTCGTGTGGGATGGGACCAGTTTGAATCCCTTTCGACTCTTCTCTTTCTGGACGTTTGCGATTCGTTTATCCCACCGGCGAACTCTTTCATTATTGCCTGGATCTAAAACAAAGCGAAGTATCCTATGATTAAATAAAACCTGACAGCGACAAAAAATTGATTCCAATGGAGACTAGAGACAGGGCGTAGCGAAGCTTTTGTTAAGAGACAGGGGTGGCGGAAATTTTTTCAAGATACAGGGTGGCGAAATTTGATTGAAATATTTTCGCCGTGGGTAAATGTAGAAAGTAAACCCCCGAGATAGGTTAACCGGTTCATCGACGCTCATTCAGTAATTCAATAACCCTTCTAAGAATGAAATTTGGGTATTTGGTACGTCTAGTATTAGGATTAGTCCACACTTGAGAACAGTTACTTAAAGGGGCAACTGTTTCAGATGGCACCAATGCCTTCAGTGCCATGTTTTTTGAGGCGATGGCTTGATAACCTAATGGGAGCCATAAATGTTGCTTTCAAAGAATAGAAGGAAACGGTACAAAA